ATAAGGGTGATGACAGTGAATATAGGACTGTGGTGGGCAACTTTGTCACTTAGAGTGAGCTGAATCATCTGCAGCTCAATTTGAAAAAGACTAAGGAGCTCATAGTGGATCTGAGGAGGGCAAAAACACCAGTGACCCCTGTTTCCATCCAGGGGGTCCCTGTGGACACTGTGGAGGAGTATAAGTACCTGGGGGTGTACTTTAATAATAAGCTGGACTGGACTAGAAACACGAGGCGGTCTACAAAAAGGGCCAAAAGGGCCTTTAACATCTGCCAGACGATGCTGAGGATGTTTTATGAGTCTGTTGTGGCCATTACGATCTTCTTCGCTGTCACATGCTGGGGCAGTGGGCTGAAGATCGCAGACAACAACAGACTAAGCAAACTGATCAGGAGGGCCGGTGATGTCGTAGGGGAGGAGCTGGACACCCTGACGACCGTGGCAGAGAGGAGGATGCTGTCCAGGCTTCAGTTCATCTTGAACAATGTCTCACACCCTCTCTATGACACACTGGCCCAGCAGAGGAGCACCTTAAGCAGAAGACTCCTCTCACCCAGATGCACCACAGAGCGCCACAGGAAATCATTCCTGCCTGTGGTCATCAATCTCTATAACGCCTCCCTCAGAGAGTCAGACACCCCCCCCCCTGTAATTCTGACTCAAAACACAGACAATCATTCTTTTGCACTTTTTGCAAATTAATACTGTACATTTGACCATATATATATATATATATATATATGTGTTGTTTGTATAATATGTCGTTTGCATATCTGGAGTGTTGTAACGAAAATAATTTCCCCCTGGGATTATTAAAGTATTTCTGATTCTGATTCTGATTAACTGCCACTGTCATCCCTAAAGCAGTCGCTCTTCGGTACTGTGAGGGAAATTGCACATATCGCATGAATAATCATGTCTGAATATCTTAAATTCACATGTGTTTGTCGTCATGTTTAATTCCTATTATGCTTGATTATTCTGAATCTCGTATCATGTAACCTTTACCCGAGTGAGCCCTAGCCTGATTGTTCCCAAAGTATCACAAATATAACGAAACTGCTCATGGAGAGTGCGTGACTGAAAGTCTTTTTAGTGTTAATCAATGCAGTATAAGTTTAGAAATGTATGCCACATAGCAACAATAGAAACAATGGTGCCTCAGAGACCTTCCTGTGTGAACATTCACAAACAAGACAAGGATGGGCTTGTGGGAATATTAGAAAAAAAAGCATATTTGCAACAATCAGAAAGGTCAGGACACATAGTGACGCAGGGCGACAGCCCCTCTCAGTGTGCACATTATGAACTGAAGGTCTTAATTTTCATGAATTAAGACACCGGATGTGAAACACAGTTAAAGGTCCAGTGTGTAACATTAAGGAGGATCTACTGTCAGAAATGAAATATAATATTCATAGGTATGTTTTTATTACTGTATAATCACCTGAAAATAAGAAACCTTGTTTTTTCGATTGCGTAGAATGAGCAGTGTTTATCTACGGAGTCTGCCATGTTGAACCATTATTGTTCTACAGTGGCCCAGAATGGACAAACCAAACACTGGCTGTAGATAGGACCTTTTGTGTTTTTTGAGTTTCTCCTACGCGCTTGGTAACCCTACTGAATCCTACACACTGGTCCTTTCAGTGGGATCGTCTTTGCCAGAGGCACACGGCTCACCTGTGGTACATTCAGAAAAGAAAAGGTCTTTCAAAAAATAAGAAAGTTCAAAAGGCATTGTAGTACACTTGGACACAGGGAGGGACATCCCACTATAAACACTAGAGCTGTGTTCTATATGTAGTTGAGTTGTGTACTATGTTCAAACTCGGAGAAACAGTGATTTTTAGGGTTGAACTGCTTTATTCAGTGTTTTTACCAAATCTTAATCAGCAGGTCCGTCTGTTACAGAGAGGAGGAGACCTCTGTGGATAAGAAACCTCCTGAATCACGATAGGATTATAGGACAATATACGATAAAATTGCGTATTGTGAATTTCCATTACGGTGATAACTGTGAATATCCTCAGATGGTTTGACTTGAAAAATCTGTCTCTCTCTCAAGCATACAGTCCTATACTGACTTCCTGATTTAATATTAACAATGGGACAAGGGGGAGCCTGCATCTTTCCACTCATTCCAAAATCCTAATCCTGTCACCATGACTGAAGGCTTGCCTGTTTTATCCCCCAGAAAGAAAATGTTAAACCAGATGTGTGGAAACAGTATAAATTCCAAAATACAGAACAGGGAGATGTCTGTAATGCAATAAATATATATTTAACAACAGGTGTATAGCATGTTTCCTGCTGTCACCTCACTGAAAGCATGCAGGGAAAACCCCTCCCTTTCCCCTGAACAGAGCCCATGGATTCTGAAGACTGAATAGCTTGCGTGCCGCAGCAGTGAGAACCATGGGACTTTTGGCTCAGGAAACCACCTCACAGTTCACCCCGTATCAGAGGAAGGGTTATTGAGCAGGGGGAGGGAAATAGAGTGAGTCATAAATGTAGTCTCTCTCTCTCTCTCTCTCTCTCTCTCTCTCTCTCTCTCTCTCTCTCTCTCTCTCTCTCTCTCTCTCTCTCTCTCTCTCTCTCTCTCTCTCTCTCTCTCTCTCTCTCTCTCTCTCTCTCTCTCTCTCTCTCTCTCTCCAAAGAGGATGATAAACTTGTATATTCATCAGTCAACATGGATTCAAAAGATCATTACAAACAAGCTGCACGCAACAAAACCAAAATAGGAGCCAAATAGCGTGTTTCACCAGGGAGCTAAACATTGAGTTCAGCCCAACATAAACAGCTTGTAAAAATAAATTATAGGAAAACCTGAATAAATCGCAAATCCCCCCACTTGAATTTGTGCTCATTTGAATTAAAACTGATGGAGTCCATCTTTCTTATATGATACAAAAGGCTCATTTAGCACTGTCACAATACGGTACTCCTTAACTCCTCCACTTTCTCTTTCTCAAAGACAAATGTAGTGGAGCAGGTCACACACTGTGCATTACAGTTGTCCCTGATCCATCGCAGCTGTGAAAGTCGAACTGGAGGACTGATTTCATCTAACAGAAAGACTACTGATGAGTACAGTGTGGTTTGATACTGTGTGCAAATTAAAGAAGGGGCCCACTATCAAAGCCATGCTCGAAGGACAATTTGTTTATGCGGCTGTCCTGAACAAACACCAAGAAGCTGCTCCAGATAGGATCTGATATGCAGACAGACCAGTATCCCCAAGATATGAAATGGAGCCATGATGATTTTTATCTGTTAGTCCTGGGCTTTTCCCGTTTACAGTAGACTAGTATTATAAGCAAGTTCTATATTCGCTGATATTTCAGTGTAAATCAAGTCAAACTTTAAGGAATAAGCAGCTTGTCTAAAAAAAAAAAAACTATGAGAATGTGTGAAATGTGGATCCCAACATGTGCAGGTCCTGCTTAGGACAAGTAATGTTCATAAGAACGAAACAAACAGCTCATTCTGAGGTAAAGAAAACGCAACAATTCTTATTTTTAAGCGATTATACACTAATGAAAGCGTAGCTACAAATATTATATTCCATGTCTGACAATGAAGCCTTCTAAACGTCACACACTGGACCAAGATTAGTTCTGCAATGTAAGTTTTTTTAAAAACCAGCAGACTGTCCTCTCTGTTGAGTGAAAAGTTTAGAGACTGGCATGTATGTTTAACATACATATCTCTTCTGTCCTTGCTCTCAACGAAGGCGGACGAATCTCTCCCTCCCATCTCCCTTATCTTTCCTGCTTTGCTTCTCAAGTCTTGTCCTGTCTTGTCTCTAACTTTTAGGAGCCTCTCCACACTTAAATCATGGAATTGGTCAACTGGTCTCTCAACGCAATTGACAGAATTTTCTCGACGAGAAGCTCGGGTTCGGGGGAACCTGTCTGCCCTGAAGGAACGTTTGCCGCTGGTTACACGATGGACTCCTGGGAGAAGTGGAGGGTCGTGTGCCTGGTGATTCTTTCCGTAGAGGACATCGAGGATCTCTACATATTCGGAACCATGATAACAGGCTATCTGCTGATTGGATTAGGCACTGCCCTGGTGTATCGGAAAATTCGGAAGACGGTGTCAGCAGTCCAAAGCCCCATGAAGCTGCCCAACATGATTGATGGAGTGAGCAGAGCTGTTAACGCTCAGACTGTGGTCATTAACCGCAACATGGACAACATCTTGGAGAGGTTTTCGGCTTTGCAAAGGAGAATAAATCGATTTGAAGACCAGAATGAAACAATCAGAGTAAGTCGTGTCTATTGAAATGCGACTACTCGCCCTAACCCAAACAATCATAATCTAATCTGCATTCTGGCCCTCAGTGGCACGGCCATCTCCTCCAGGAGATCGCTGCAGTGAGACGCTCTGTCCTATTCCTCCCTCCCTTCCCACACGGACACCTGTTGATAGTTGACTCTGTTTGGGACCCGATCAGGGATGTCTCCATGGCAACCTGCTGTGTTATCACGATGACACCATGTGAACTGAGGCACTGATTGAGAGGCTAGACGAAGTGACTCTCCAGGCTTATGTGCACACACGCACCCATGGACACTTACACATGCGCATATGCAACACACCCCTCTACAACCCCCCCCATTCTACGCCTTTTGCCGCTTTTTACCCCCAGTGCAACAAGCGGGATTCCGCTGGCTGCGCCGATGCTGGCTGCGCCGATGCTGGCTGCGCCGATGCTGGCTGCGCCGCGGCTGCCTGTCTGCGCTGGTACGCCTCCACCCCCCTTTCCCACCTCCCCTGTTGCAAGTTGTTTTGAGTTTTTATGTTGATCATATGTGCTTATGTTGCTGAGGTTTTTTTCCCCAGTGCCACACTGTACACCCCCACAGGAGCAGAGTCTGGGAGCTTCTCTTGTTTTCTCCCCCTTTTCCTCCGCCCCTACAAGTAATTTCCCCACAGGGACTATTAAAGTATTTCTGATTCTGATTCTGATCTTGCAGACGGGGTACGTACCTCTGAGGGGATGTCCCAGACGAGCCTCTGGGGTTGGGGTAGTGAGCGGTCTACCTCGCCTTTACAGTGTCCGTCCTCAGTGTAGCCCAGCTGAAAGGCATCTGTGGCCAGGGTGTACTGGCGAAGGCAAGAGACAAATATAAGCTAATACACACCCATTTATTTTTTAATCTCTTGTTTGCTCTTTTACACAGAGATACCAAAAGGAAGTAGCTATGCTATGCTTGCTATCTACACTCATATGCCCATATCTGTTAATAGAGATGAGCTTACATGTGTCTTTCTCATCATTATTGCATCAGGTTGCTATGGAGTTAGATTTGTGTCTTTATTACATGCAAGAAAATAAATGATCTGAGAGAAAAAAAAAATGTTTGAGAGAAAAAGTTATCACACGGATAGTAAAAAATAATAATATTTGAGACTAAAAAAAGTTTTGAGAGAAAGTATTTTCTCATAGAACATAAAAAAATATAAATTTGAAATTTTTACAATTATTTCTGAGAAAAATAAATCTCTCAAAATACTTTTTTTTAACTCTCAAATATATATTATTTTGCTATCAGTGTGAAAACATTTTCTCTCAAAAAAAAAAACAAATGTGTTTCTCTTAAAACGTTTTTCTTCTCTCTCTAAAAACCTAAGTCTTTGCTCTCGATGCAATTTCTTGCTCTCGTGTCAGGATTTTGCTCTCGCTGTGAAAATAATGTCATGGGCACGACATTCTATCAGACAATATTTCCCTGTTTATCCTGACAACTTACACCCAGCTGATGAAAAGCGTCAAACCATCAGTAAAAAGTGTGGACAGATAAAGCTACAGCAGCTGTACAGGACGGTTTTGAGCACACATATTTATAGAGGCGTCCACCCAGGAGAACAACTTCAGTCGGGAGGAATATACATCAGTAACTTTGATCTCCTCAACAAAGAGTCAGCTGTAAAATCTACTCCAGATAACTGACCGATGACAGTATCCACAGAACAGGGAGGGAACTATATCTAAATTTAATTCTACAACCCTGTTGTGACAATAAAACATCCTTGAATGCTTAAATCCTTGAACCAAATTCTCCACTCTTTGACCATCTGAAGTCTATTAGGACTATAGCTATGCAAGCCCTTACAAACACATTCATTGTTCTTACGTGGCTTGTGTGACTGATTTAGGAGAACTTGCGGCATTCATTAATTTTCTCTTATTTGAATTGTATGAACACAGATTACGAGTGTTTATCCAAACACGTTTTGCACTGTATATTGCATTACTCTAAAGCAATGTTGAGCTTCCTATGTAAATTACACCTCATAATTAAGCTGATATCATCATGTTGGACTGTATAGTTCGAATTAGAAATATAGCCTGGTTCTAAATGTATCATATAGCCTAATTACATGATCATTCATTTAAAATAGCTATTGATGGGGTTCTCTTCAGGTCTCACAATGCAAAATCACTCATCACGGCACATATTCTTTCCTCTGTCATTACTTTGTCATTATGTGTATGCATCCTCGTTACAAACCCTTTTCTCAGAACAGGGTTCCTTGAAACAGATTATGGTGGATAAATGCGAAGCATATTTGGGATTGCAAAACAGTTACAGATACGATTTACGGTTCACAGTTAGTGGGAATGACAATTATTGCATTTATAACTATAAACACACACACACACACACACACACACACACACACACACACACCTCCCAAAGGTGAGCCACTGTGGGTGCATCAGCCCAGGAGTGCTCTGCATTCAGTCCACTCTTCCCATTCTTGTAGATCACAATGGAGAAGGATTTATCAAACCACCTAAGGGACGGGAACAGAAAGAAAAACAGCTCTGAGACAATTCGGAATGCTGACCTGACGTGAGGGATGACGTATACCTAGGTGTAAAAAACCACAGAACCTATTCAATTTTCTCCCTCGGACGCGCCTCACCGATCGTAACATTTCCCATGGAGCAGGGACTTGGCGTAGCGGTCCAAGTTTCCCGCTGGGTCCTCTCCCCTCATGCCTTGCTCTTCTTCATCCAAGGTTACGAAGAAGGCGGCCCTCTCGATGGCATCCAGTGATCTCTTGTTGATGCCGGAACTGAAGTACTGCTTCCTCATCTGAGCCCAAGGAATCCTGGGAGGGGGTGACACACACAAACATCAAAACAATCATGCTCAATGATCACTGGTCCATAAACACTGCAAAACATAAGCACATACACGATTGCAATCCATCACGGTTTTAAACACCAAAAACAGCCCAGGCTGCTGAAAGTGTCTCAAGACCACAGGAAGTTTATGAAAGTGGAAACCGTACTGAACTGTACAAAAGTACATCTGTACTTCTGTTGTAGGGTCAGACGGTTACACATTCAACTCTGACAACATCTAAGTTTTGTTTGGCGTTGCTTCAACAGTCCTCGCAATGTCCTGTTCACATAAAAAGACGACAGTTGAACACACCAGCATTCGCACTGAAACTCACCATTTCTCTGATACCCAGTTATAATCTTTTTGCCAAAAATGTTTATTTGGTTTGGTTAGTCTGTTCTGGGCTACTGTAGAAACATGGCAGTTCAACATTCCACTCCATGGAAGGCGACCCACTGTGTCTGTAGATAGAAACGTCGCATTCTAAGATAACAAAAACGCAACTACAGTCATGAGAACAAGTATTTGATACACTGCCGATTTTGCAGGTTTTCCCACTTACAAAGCCTGTAGAGGTCTGTAATTTGTATCATAGGTACTCTTCAACTGTGAGTGACGGAATCTAAAACAAAAATCCAGAAATTCACATTGTATTTTTTTTAAGTGATTCATTTGCATTTCATTGCATGACATAAGTATTTGATACATCAGAAAAACAGAACTTAATATTTGGTACAGAAACCTTGTTTGCAATTACAGAGATCAGACGTTTCCTCTAGTTCTTGACTAGGTTTGCACACACTGCAGCAGGGATTTTGGCCCACTCCTCCATACAGATCTTCTCCAGATCCTTCAGGTTTCGGGGCTGTCGCTGGGCAATACGGACATTCAGCTCCCTCCAAAGATTTTCTATTGGGTTCAGGTCTGGAGACTGGCTAGGCCACTCCAGGACCTTGAGATGCTTCTTACGAAGCCACTCCTTAGTTGCCCTGGCTGTGTGTTTTGGGTTGTTGTCATGCTGGAAGACCCAGCCACGACCCATCTTCAATGCTCTTATTGAGGGAAGGAGGTTGTTGGCCAAGATCTCGCAATACATGGCCCCATCCATCCTCCCCTGAGTACGGTGCAGTCGTCCTGTCCCCTTTGCAGAAAAGCATCCCCAAAGAATGATGTTTCCACCTCCATGCTTCACGGTTGGGATGGTGTTCTTGGGGTTGTACTCATCCTTCTTCTCTCTCCAAACACGGAGAGTGGAGTTTAGACCAAAAGCTCTTTTTTTGTCTCATTAGACCACATGACATTCTCCCATTCCTCCTCTGGATCATCCAGATGGTCACTGGCAAACTTCAGACGGGCCTGGACATGAGCTGGCCTGAGCAGGGGGACTTTGCGTGCGCTGCAGGATTTTAATCCATGGCGGCGTAGTGTGTTACTAATGGTTTTCTTTGAGACTGTGGTCCCAGCTCTCTTCAGGTCATTGACCAGGTCCTGCCGTGTAGTTCTGGGATGATCCCTCACCTTCCTCATGATCATTGATGCCCCACGAGGTGAAATCTTACATGGATTCCCAGGCCGAGGGAGATTGACCGTCATCTTGAACTTCTTCCATTTTCTAATAATTGCGCCAACAGTTGTTGCCTTCTCACCAAGCTGCTTGCCTATTGTCCTGTAGCCCATCCCAGCCTTGTGCAGGTCAACAATTTTGTCCCTGATGTCCTTACACAGGTCTCTGGTCTTGGCCATTGTGAAGAGGTTGAAGTCTGTTTGATTGAGTGTGTGGACAGGTGTCTTTTATAGGTAACGTGTTCAAACAGTTGAAATACTTATGTCATGCAATAAAATGCAAATTAATTATTTAAAAATCATACAATGTGATTCTGGATTTTTGTTTTAGATTCCGTCTCTCACAGTTGAAGTGTACCTATGATACAAATTACAGACCTCTACAGTCTTTGTAAGTGGGAAAACCTGCAAAATCGTATCTAATACTTGTTCTCCCCACTGTATTCTGTGATTATACACTAATGGAAACCTATGAATAATATATTACAAAAAAGTAGAAAATAATGCATTATAGAGAAACTGCAACCAATGAGATCCATTAGTGTAATGTACTTTGGCGTAATGGGATCTTACATTTAGCGGTGATGGATGGGGATGTGGTATGAATGTAGAAGTGGAGTTCAGACATTGACATCCCAACTTCTTAAAACAGTCAAGGGTTTGGCTTCAAGTCCCACTGAAACATGCACAAACCTCGACCCACACAGAGATTGAGTCAATGAGCTGTGTGTACTAGTGTCAATCATGATACCAGTCACAGAGACTAACCAGACTTCTCAACTCTTTTCTGTGGTTACCTCAATTTACTCACTCTCCACCAATAGCAGAACACAAAATTCAGCTGTTCACATTTGAGCTCATTTCTCTTTCTGTTTGTGCAGATATCGTATGCAGTCATGTATTAGATCATCAGCTGTGTGCGATATAATGTGGACAGACGGTAAAGGCATCAGGCTGGTGAGGGGTGCGTGTGTGTGTGTGTGTGTGTGTGTGCGCTCTCTGGTGCAGCACAGTTTGCAACTAGAGGTGGACGATATATATCGTTTGCGATAATATCGTCATTGTTGTTTTGACGATGTGCAAATTTCCATTATCGAGTATTTAAATTACTTCGCCAAAAATATTGAAAAGCACGCGGGAACTCCTAATATCCACTTAATACACGGTGCAGCAACGCTCTCTACAGCATGGCAGGATTCAGTCACACGACTAGTGGGCCTATGTGATCACATGACCTCTCGCTAGCATCCTCCTTGTGATGGTAGAGAGAAAATGCAAGCACCTCCAGTCCCTGAAGCTACCGGTACTTCAGATGATTTAGTACCGAGACGTGGGTCTACCTCTCTGGCATGGAAATGGTTTGGTTTCGAAAATACTTTTTTAGCACAGCGCTCAGAGCGCTTCAAGTTGAAATCTATTCAACTTTTAACACCACTGGGCGTTTGGAAAATGAGTTTTTGAGCGCTCTCAGTGCTAAAAACGCGTTTGGTGGACACAAGCCCTAACTCAGACAATTCCAATCACATTTTAAAGGGTATCGACTGATTATCGTTATCGCCAAAATCCCAAAAAATAGCGAGATATAATATCGCCCACCCCTATCTGCAACACACATGTTTCCCTCCTAAGCTTCCTATTGGAAAAATACACACAATCCCAATACTCCCGGCATTAATGATTGGCCAGTGCCTAAACTCCTGGAAGTCTTTTTCAAAACACAGACCCGACAAAGTATGAATTCAGGTTTTTTTTTTTACGAATCTCCATCACGTTGTAGTTATTTTGGCATCCTTTTGATCGGTTTATTGACGTTCACAGCTACATCTGTTTATTTTAGGCTCATACCACTGTTGTAAACCAAATAAAAAGGGCCACTATCAGTAAACTAACACAAGTACCATTACTCAGCCACTACTACAGAACAAAAGGACAAACAGGTTCTACAGGTAAACACAATGCTACTTATGCAAAAACCCATTCCCATACGCCGCAGTGTAACCCCACCCTATCACACCTACCGGTCTCCTGCAGTGAGAGCTCCCAGTTTGTCCTCTCCAGGCTTCGGGGGTGAAGGGTCATCCAGAATCCTCTGCATCTGGTGCTCAATCTCCCGAGGAGATAGCAGCCGCCCCGCCCGGTACACCCAAAGCCGGAAATAGCGACCCTTGTGATAAACTACAACAAACTCGCTATCCTGCCAGTGCTGGAGCACATCTGTGGGAGAGGGTAATCATTTATTTTTGTCATCTGCTATTACAACACATATTTTACTTAAAATTTAGAGACGTTCTGGCTCTATAATGGAGCCTGAGTCTGTGTGGTTTTTTCTCCCTGAGATTTGATTCCAAGAGGATTGGCTCTGTGCGCAAACATCAGTTTACATAATTCCTTGTATCCAATGTTTATATAACAGACATTAAACTATGGGATACGTGTGTGTGTGTGTGTGTGTGTGTGTGTGTGTGTGTGTGTGTGTGTGTGTGTGTGTGTGTGTGTGTGTGTGTGTATTACCGGTCTCGACTCCTGGTGTGCGTGTTGTGTTGAACATCCTCTCACACTGAGCCGCACACAGAGGGATAACAGTGCCTGGAACCCGACTCTGACACAGGGACACACACATGTATTATTCATATTTATTGTTTAATGTGACGCTCTCACTTGTCGGGACCCCCACTAGGGGTCGCCAAAGCTTCACAGGGGGTTGCAAGGCCTTCTTGGTTTTAAGGGGTGTAAGAAAACTTAAACTTAACTTTTTAATATCTAAAGTTTGAAGACCTGACCTCAAGCTATATTCAGAGAGTCTTCACTCTCACTAAACTATCTACTAAGTTTATTTTGAATGTTTGCTATAGTGAAAAAACAAATTGTCTGTATTCACAAATAAATTATGTGAGAGACACACATACTCAAATACAGTAAGTCAAATTTAAAAGTATTTCTTAAAAACCTGAATATACCCACTGTTAACTGATGTAAATGTAAATAACTAAGATGAATTGTAACTGGATGTGTTGTAATGTTTAGATTTTTCTTTTTATTAATTTTTAAATGTCTTTGAGACTTTTATACGTTTTATGTGCCTTCTTTGTATGAATGTTTTGTTGCGTGCGGACCACAGGTGAGAGTAGCTGCTACCTTGGTGGCATCTAATCTGGATCCAGGATTAAAGAATATATAATAAACACCTTCACTAAACAGCCTCATCCTGCATTATAAAAATATGCAATTAAAACAACCAAGGAGCTAATAGCCACGTGTCAAGAAAACACTGAGTTTGACAAAACAGAAGCCTATGAAGTATGTGTTAAGTATTCAAAAAAGACAGACAGAAGGTTCCTAGAAATACTGTATCAGTAAAACACATCTGTGATGCAATATTGACAGGAAATAATCTGCACTGCATATATATATATAAAATTTGAAATATACATAAAATATGTCACTTAGTCAGGGGTCGTCGTTTTTGAATTTAATTAATTAAAACATTTTATTTTAAAAAAGCGGTCCATTAAAAATGGTTGGGAATGGTTGGGAACCACTGGGTCAGAGCATCATCAAAGGCACTGTGTGATCTTACTGGTTTGAGCTCCTCCCGGTTGACCTTGCGGCGGTAGAGCAGCAGGGCAGTAATGGTGTTGCCTGCCCTGGCCGCCTGCACCGGGGTCGGGGTCACATACAGGAAGTCCTGAAAGCACACACACAGGAAGTCACAACTAAGACTAAAATAGATTTATGTTTATGATGACATAAGAGAAACAAGGGTGAAATATTGGACAAATTTTTAATGCGACTGTAAACAAGAAGAAACAATAAGGGGTTAGGACAGGATTGTTAAGACCAGAAGGAAGAACGCTGAGAAGGAAAGACGTATGCCAGACAGTTTGGCTCGTCTGCTACTCAAGCTGAGGATAGCAAAAGATTTAGCACAGTTTTCTAAGCTGCAGTTCAGTGAAAAGGAAGTTACCATGCCATAGTAGTTACTGTTGACCATTAAGGGACATCGGCTCCTCAAGTAGATGTACTCCTCCCACCAGTCACTCACCTGGAACCAAAACAGGACATTTTTTTAATATTTCGTATACCCGGTCCAGTATGCAACTTGTACAGTGTGATGTAGAAACTTGAAGCATACAAGATAAGATATAAGATTGCAGCCCCCTTTTAACAATGTATGCCGACGTATTTACAAAATAAAATAATTTAATTAATTCAAATTTCTTTGTATTTTTATATTAAAATCTCAAAATGTTGTCTTTCTGTAAAACAAAATGTGATGCATGTTTACGTAAGCATGAACTAACCGATTTCAACCAATAATATCATCCATATGTCAATCATTCTTCAACTTTTGGCGACACAGAGCAAAGATTCATGCTAGCTTAAACTGTTCCATTTGAATGATCAGTCGAGTGTCAAAGTGGTTGCATGTCAGTCAACTGAAATTATTGTGTTAATGGTTTTCAGCTCTTGTGTGTACACTTACATAGTTGGTGGCCCACAGAGCTTTGAGTCTCAGGTAGCGCTGCAGGCGGTTTCCCAGGTTAGCCTCAAAGTGATTGGCCAGTTTGGTCATTCGTTTAAACTCTGGATCAGTCAACAGAGGGCGCACTGACTGCAGGTACTGAGAGAAAACAGTGCATCAGTTATTTCACTTCTTCATTTAAAACAGTATATACATAGACACTGTGTGTGAAGATGAGCCAAACGAAGATGTGTGAAATGCGTTCCATGCGTGAGTCAACTCACCCGGCTCAGTGTGTCTCTGATGGCAGGAACTGGCAGGTGAGGTAGAGAGGTCTGATAACTGTACAGCAGAGGCTTCCTGCTCGACAATAACCTCAGCAGAGTCTGAGAGAAAAGACAGAGGGAGACTCACAATGATACAGAATCTCATTTTATTGGGATAAGTAAGAATAAACTATGGGGATGACAGCCTCTGCCTTTTTAAAACATCCTTTGCATTATGGCTGGCCGATATGACTAAAATCTCAAATCCTGATATACATTTTATATCCCATAACTATATATACATATATATATATATATATATATATATATATATATATATATATATATATATATATATAAAATATAATATATATCACAATATTGTATATTTTCTGTAAATTTGATGAATTAATACTTTATATAACATGACCACATGGACATTGTTTCAAATTAAATACTCAACCAATAAAAGGCACTTACGGAGATTTGATTATTTTTCTCATTAAACATGTAAGACAATATAAAATATTTATACGTCTCATTATGACTTCCAGCGACCCATTTTGCAGAGTAACACAGAGAGACAGAGACAAAGAGAAAGAGAAGTGTTATCTGGTCCTTGGATACAATGGATTATGAAGTACAGACCAGGTAAATCATTCGGCACCATACTGGTTTCACTTTTGGTCGTTTCCACAGGCTCATCAACATCCTCTGCACAAAGCTGCTTTTATGAACTTAACCACAGTGTGTTTTTTTTGGCACTTTATAAAGCAACCTCCAGGAGAGACGGATGAGAGGCAGGATGAAGCAAGCCTGGTGTGTGTGTGTGTGCACAGCAGAGCACTGTTGCTGGTGTGTGTGTGTGTGTGTGTGTGTGTGTGTGTGTGTGTGTGTGTGTGTGTGTGTGTGTGTGTGTGTGTGTGTATGTGGGGGAGAGAGACAGCAAGGTGAGCAGATTAAAGTAGTTTGTGAATAAACAGGAGTGAAAGGCTTGCTTTGCATTGTATCCCGGCCTTTTTGTTTCTCATATCAAATACGGAAGAATGTGATTTGTAACGTAAACGATAGAGCAAAATTATATTATACCGGCCCTACTTTGCACTGTGTCATATTTAATAGTATGCTGCTGCAGCTACCACTAGAAAAAAAAAATGTAATTTGTATCAATGGTCCAAAGCAGTCTCTGCAAAATTATATTATATTACAATTATATTAAATATGCAAAACTACAAAGTGGAGAAACGGCTTACCACCCAGACTTTGGTGACGTTGGAGACTCGGCCGTGTTGCTCAAACATCCACTGGTGGTAGGAGAGCAGCAGTTTGAGGCAGAATCTGAGCGCCAGGATGAGAGAGAGCCACAGCAGGGTGCTGAAGACCAGCACTGACACCATGGTCTGCCCCTGGGAACTGAGAGACACATGGAGACTGGACAGAGAGGGGGGAAAGGACAGTTACTGGCAACGTAGACTAACAGAGTGTCTGTTAAAAAGATAAATTCTGCACTTCTTAAGGCTTTTTAAACCCATTTGTGCCCACGTCTGAAATTTTGTTTTTAGAGTGTGAAATGGGATTGCCTGTGCACAAATCTGAAGAAATTTTTAAAAAAATAGGTCAGACCATGTGGCTAAAAAATTTACTTTTATCCTACTAGATTTAGTCTTTGGGCACAGGGGACTGCTGAATTTTCATAAAATGGTAGACAATTCTCTACAATAGGCAGTAAAACTATTGTTAGTCAGACCCCATTGAAAACTAATGGAGGAAGTGTGTCCGTTTGCTTCTGTTAGACCTCAGATCTTGCTTTTTTTTAGATAACTTCTCAAATACATAAGTAGCTCACACAATTAAGAGAAACTTGCATAAACCTATAGGTGCCCTGAGAAACTGCACTTACAGTTGCTGTTAAATCGTAAGTCTCCTCCTCACCTGCATCACTGCCACTCCATGCCATGCTCTAAACCACTCCCAAAAGCTCCACCCTTCAGATCTGATTTCCCTCTTTTCCCTCCAACCCACACAGAGAAGCACAGAGAGAACCTGCTAAAGTTTTCCTTTTTGTTAAGAAAAAAAAAAGAGAAAATAAGACCAGATTGTGGATGCTTAAATGATAAAAAAAACATCCACCAAAAATGTGAAAACCATAACCTACCCACCGACTGAAATAAACTGTTGAAACAGATTTCTGGATCACGTGTTTTAATGTGACTGAAGTAAAGCCAAAGGCACTGTAACTCTAGACACTAGCAGTTGAAGAAAAAAATTCCATGAGTTCATAAAAGCTCATATGAACAAATACTAATTCCATTAAGATTTGATATCATCTATAAATGTTTATGCCCCTTAGCAGGGGGCAGACACACAGGGATGACAATAAAGTGAAAGTGTGTAATGAGCTACAGCCATGAGAGGAAACAAAAGTGCAACAGCGGCATCTGCTGGGTCGATGAGGACGTGAATTTATTTCAGAATCAGATGAAGTAGGAAGAAGGAGAGGAAACACAAATGTGGGACATTGACTATGATATACAGTATGTGGTGTGAACAGCAGGACAACATGAGACATACATTAAAGAAGAAATATTAAAACAAAATGTATTTAGGGTATAATAAAGAGAAAATGAATACATGCGGTAAAATCAAGACAAATATGGGAAAAGGAGGAACACAAGACTCTCCATCTTATATATATAGCGATTAAATAACATAAATATCATTCCGTGTGTTATTAGAGGTCTTATTGGCCAAAACAAATACTTTGTATTTCCTTTGTACTTCGTTTCTGATTACAAGAAACTGAAATCCAGGATATCTTGCTTGATGTTAAGTGGTGCAGATAACTATAGAAAAAGATAAATGCACTCCGTCTATATGTGCATTAATTTCATAAATGTATTTCTTGAGCAGTAAAACAGATGCGTATCGACTCTGCATTCCAATAGTCTTTTGCTCAGGAAGGTTTCTAACTGAGTGAAACCACCCAGAAGTATTTCAGTGGCAGCCATGATGCGAGCCGTTTGAATTCTCTAGATGTTAAAGAAATTTGCTTCAATGCTTCCTTCCTTATCTCTTTTAGCACAGGATACACCATCCATCCTTCACCAAAGGAAAGGAGATAATGTCATCACACAGTTCCTAGCACCAGACACATTTAAAACAATGTATCATTGTAGTTTCATAACCACAGACCATGTAAATACAGAAACAACACAGCGCCTATTTAATGCTTGTGACACCAACCAAAACTTAAGGAAATCCAAATACATCAAGATAGAGTTCGTCCCTTTCAACTCTATCCAGTTAAGGAGTCATCTTGAAGAACAAGCCATCTGAATTTCTTGTTAACGATATACCGCTCTACCTCTGAGCCACAGCCGCCCCCAAAGTACTGTATGTAATGAATATGAAATGCTGTTTCACTAAACCCCCCCCATCGTGTAATGCACTAAAAGGGTATAAAAAAACATCAAAAAAGTGCCCATGTGGGAAAACTATACACTTTAGTCTGGCCCCTTACTCAATTCCTTTTTTATTATTATTATATTTTAATGACTCAACTATATCCCATATATTCCTTTAACGTTATTATATTATTTCAACATGCCCTGTTTGCTTTGTCTTTATTTTCAACAATATCTATTCTTTTGTTACTTCCTATAAGGGGTAGAAGAACATAGCAAAAAATATCACATTATGGTATTTTGTTTTGTGATATTGTATCGATTCTCAACAACACTATAGATTTTTGTTTATGCATTATGCGTGGTGTGTTCTTTATACTATGACATTTTTCCTAAAATTAGATTTTAAAAAAAGAGAAATCACAGTATACAGAATTGATTACAGTATCGCAATACATTGAATCGTAATTGATGGTTACACAGCACAGCATTGAGTTTGTGACTGTCCTTATCTTCCATGTGTTATAAATAAAGTTCTCATTTAAAAGCCGAGTGTAGGTACCCCGTTTCCCCCAAGTCCTTATGAATTCTCTTTCACTTGAGCCAAGGAAAAGTGTTTAGGAAAGGACGTAGGAAGTCCTTTTTTTGACAATTTGAACGCAGCCTAGGTCTTCATCAGGGTCTAATCAATCTGGATTATACACCAGCCCTGAGTGGCCTCCTACCCGACACTTATGCTCTATACAAAACATGACCCATAGAGGGCACACAAGTAATAGCTGATATAAGCATACAAGGCAGACAAGTGCATCTACAGTCCAGCACAGTGACAATAAAAGACAAAAACCCAACAAATACAAATACCTAAAACATATTCAGTAAAATAATTGACCCAGAATGTGTGAAACCAACTTCATACTATTTTACAAACACTGCAGAGGTACGAATATACACAGGCCTTTTATGTTTTATTTATTGAATGTAGTGTATATATATTTTATTGTATTTTGTTGTATTTTATTTTATTTTCTGCACTCATTGCACTACATTTCCCCTACAGCAGATCAATAAAGGAACATCTTATCATCTTATTAATAATTCAGTTAATTTCAACAAAGGAAAAAAAATGAAGAAAACTAACAAAAAGGTGTATGAGCAGAAGACTTGCAATGGGAAGTGCTTTTGCAGCTGAGAATCTCCTTGTTGTTCAATTAGTTGTCTGATCCCCTACAGCAGTGGCTCCCAACCTTTCTGCCCTACAGAATGGTTGAATAATTAAAGCAATTATTGGAGTCTATTGTAAACTGACATGTGTAAGAGATGATTAAAATGATCAAATTTTTCAGTCAGTTTCTGACTAAGAGATGACTGTTTAAACTTAGTAAACTGTATATTCGGGAACACAATTCCACTTTTATCCTGTAGCAAGTGGCAATGTGCTGTATAATGCTTTTTTAATTTTTAATTTTTTAATGTGCAGAATGCAGAAGCTCCCCCAGTACCCTAATATTGATTTAGATATGGTTAAGCACATGTCTGGTTGTCAGGGTCCTGCTCATCAGATTGCATTTTAAACTGCAGCTGTCATTTTCTCCTTGTTGCTTATGCATCACATCTGCAGCCACTGACTTCAGAACAAATATTCACAGTCTGGAATGTGGCAGGTGTGTGTGTGTGTGTGTGTGTGTGTGTGTGTGTGTGTGATTGACTGTGAGGCTGACAGTGATTCAGCGACTGTAGAGCTACAGTTATTGAATACACTGGCAGGGAAGTAGGGCAGAGTTCAAGTACAGCCACCACACCCACATTGATCCATAATGACTCATCGGCTTTATTTACTATGAGGTTATGTTTGTTACTGGTGTGCAACAGACTGGAATTTAAATAGGAGCTGTCACTTTCAGCTGGCTGCACGCTCATGCATAGCTCAACCGTTGCTGGATTTTTGAGGCTGACGCTATTAAATATTATTTATTTGATAATGGTAGATCAGCCGACAAACTGATGCGGATCCCTTGGTCCCTTAACAATGTGACCAAGATACTATGTGGGACATTTCACAGTGTAAAAATAAACCTGAGATTGCTCTCTGGTGGACAAACTGCAGTTCCTCATTAACTTATTGGCCAATATACATGTAGCCGTTATCAGTCTAGCTCTATGTTCAAGCATTACACATTCTTTTAGTGCTAAAGATTGCTGTGTATTGCTCATTTATATTAGAGCCCAACTGATATGGGATTTTTGAGGCCGATACTGATTTTAGGGGGAAATAATTTATTGGCTGATTACCAATATCAATCCCTCCAGGAAGCTGTGATGTTGCAATTATAACAATTAACTCAAATTCAACCAATCACTGTTGCTACTCAACCTTGCAATTTTGTCCAGTCACCGCAACTTTTCCACAAATTTGACCATTCATAAGTCACCACACTCACTTCTTGTTTCTATTTGTGAATATGCTGACGTGTGAATTATTTTAATAAAAATCATAATTAACTGTTTGGCTGATCAATCACCAACTGTTGCTACTCACTACACTGCTGCTGCGTCCACACAGCCAGCTGGGCTCCAGTGTCTATCAAGCCCCAGTTTGCTACATCCATCTCCACAGTTTCAAATGATCTGATGTTAGAGCAGGTACCTGTCAGAGTGCAGGACCCTGTGTCTCAGGGTGTCTTTAACAACAGAAGTGGTCTTTAATTTTTAATGTATTGTAAATGAAAAACACAACAACTATTTTTGCAACTTTCACTTTCCCCCACAATTCATTGCAAAAAAAAAAATCCTGGAGGACTGCGTTATGGAGGCTTATATAGAGCTTTTCTATGTGGACTGAAATGACTGCAAAGGTACTCAGAAGGCTACTTTCTTGAACAAATAACTACCGGCTGATAATATCAACTGACCGATAATTAATAATATATACATATAAAGGCACTATATGGGCACCTATTTACGTATATAGACAGAGAGAGATACACTGTGAAACAGTAGATTTAAACAGTGAACATGCATCCATTTCCCAGTTTGTGAGAAAGAAAGAATGTAAAAGAAAAGATGAAAAATATCTTAGCGTGATATTTTGTTTTGTGATATTGTCTTGATTCTCAAGAACACTGATTTCTGTGATTGCACACCATATCCTGTATATATAAAACCTCCATATATCACCTTGCTTCCAATATCACAATACACAACAATATATTGAATTGTGATACGTATTGGAGGCTCTTGCCAATACACAGCTGTGATTCTTCTTATCGTTTAAATGTCAGGTGGCACTGTAATTGTAAAAACTTTTTAAGAGTGAACTTAATACAAAAAAAAAGATCCGCCCATATTTAATGTTTGAATTTATTAAATGGGCTATTATGAGAACCGCTTTGAGAGAGAGACAAGAGCAGTGGTATCCTCTGTGTTGTGTGTGTTTGTGTACCTTAGCGGCAGGTGCTGCTGTATCTTGGTAATGAGCCCCATGCTGGGATCCGAGCGCATGTACATTGTGGCGAGGATCGCTATGACGACAAAGAGCCAGGAGGAAGGGCTGGCGGGGTACACTCCCTTGATCACTCTGTTCTGTTACAACAGAAGAAGAAACAACAGGCATTGTGATTAGTTTTCCACTGGAGCACAGCGGCTCCTCTTACAGACAACTGCAGGTTATTCCTATAGAGAGAACATTTGAAAAACTGACTCTCAGATTTAAAGTTAGAAACATTTTCACATACATACTTCTGTATCCACTTTCTCCAACAAAACGTTACACAAACCCCTGAATACCCTAAACGTTAAAGTTACATCAAGTGTATCAGTGGCAAAAATGCACGTCAGTACATGTTAGGATGCTCATCATTCCTCACCTATACAGATGGGAATTTACACCCTGTAATTAGGCCTTCAGCTCCCCCTGGAACACTAATTACACCCCCACACCACTCCTCCAGATTATAACCAGACCCAGTTTTCAGCAGTGACCCAGAATGAAAATCTGTGGACTTTAGCTGAGTGAGGTTTTTTTTGTAATGAGATAGACCATAAGCTAACAAAGATTAGTTTGAGCAGAAATACACCAAAACAACCAAAAACGACCTCAAACAGGCTTAAAGAAATATGTAGCAGATTTTAGTAGAACCTTTAGATTTTATTTAATGTAAAAGACGACTAGCATAAGGTTCAATGTGGAGCAGAGAAAAAACTCATTTGCAAAACCATTAACCAATAATCATTTATCAAGTAGCTTAAATCTTCTGTTATCAATTTCCATTGCGGCTGAGCTAGAGATACATGATGTACAGTTACCAATGACAACAACAAAAAATAAAGACCAGAAGCAAAATGCATCACAGTCAGCTGTTTTCATGCCTAGACACCATGACTCAGCAGAACCTACACCCCCCCTCACTGTACTGACTGGCTAACCTAATTATTACACATTAGATCTAAGTAACAGACGTTTAAGAAGAACACAAGCAGGGATATCCAATCATCCTCACTCTCATTCGGCTGACTCGTTTCTTCCACGATCGTACTCCAGACAGGTAGATCTGGTTCAGGGCCTGATAGGACAGCTGCAGGTCAATCCCCTCTGGCGTTATGGTGAACTGGAACGCCACCGCCTGGTGGGCCTCTGCCATCGCTGTGGAAACACAAGTGAACAAAGATGTAACCATCAGTATCACTCCTTGAATTAATTAAGGTAACTTTTATGACAATAACTTTTTGTCATATTCACTGAAACTTTCACTATATCCTGACAGTAGAACATGAGACAGATAATCTGTGAAACAATCAGGTTCCTCTGGCTCCTCCTAGTGCTCCTAATGGCATTTGTTAGAATCCACTGAGCCTGAACGAAAACCACCAATCAGAGCCAAGAAAGATAGTTGATTGTTGAGTTTGTTAAAACTTTCTCAGCTCTGTTTGGTTGTTTTTGCTCAGGCCCAGGTAGGGCTAGGTGATAAAAATAAAATCTCCGATTTTTTCACACCAAACCCGATTTACGATTTTAATCGATTTTTTTGTAGACTGTTTTTCTCTCTGACACTCTGACCTACGGGAGCCCAAAGGTAGCGGCGGTGTTTTGGAAGTTCAAGAGAAAACCGATTTTAACTAAAAATAAATCGTGTTTAACTACGAATTCAAATTAATCAATAAAATCGTTTTATCGCCCAGCCCAAGGCCCAGATTTCTGCAGCCACAGTAATGGTTACATACAACTCATCGTTGCAGAACCAATTGCTGATTTTCAACAGACAGTAGAGCTGCAACAAACAAATATTTACAGTATCGATTAATCTTGTTAATTATTTTCTTGATTAATCGATTACTTGTTTGGTCCATAAAATGGCGGAACATTTTTCACAAAAGGTTACGTCCTCAAATGTTTGTCCACAACCCAAAGTTATTATGTTTAGAGTCACAAAGAACTAAAGAAACCAGTAATTGGTAAACCAACAATATTCACATTTGAGAAGCTGAAATTAGATTTTTTTTTCTTAAAAACTGACTCAAAACAATTCGATCGATTATCCAAACAGCTGGCGATTAGTTTGATAGTTGACAACTAATCGATTAATCGTTGCAGCTCTAACAAACAATCTGTGTTTTCCTATTCTATTGTGTTTCACTTAAACCCAAGAGCTTAAAAAATATATATATAAATATATATATTTATTATACAAGTAATATATTACTTGACTTAGACTGTGGCAGGATATTATGACAGGATTTTATAACCTTAGTTAGTTTTCTGACTTTATGAACTCAGTATAACAGCTACTTTTATAAGCAAGCAGGCTGTATGAACCCTCTGTGTGACAATACTTGAGTAATTTAATGTGTCAGTGGAATGTTGTTGTCTCACTGCTGCAGCAACAAGAACACGGAGTAAAAACTGCTCATAGTACACTCTGCGTTGTATGGTAGGTTTAATTAGTAGACATACAACAAATCGATCATTTGTCATTTTAAACCTGGTTATATATAATAATCCTTAAAGATCCCCTCCAGACCTGTATTAAGGCATATATACAAATCAATCTCCTCCTTCTGCCTCATTAAAACTTCCAGAATCTGTGAATATGCAAATTCTGTTTATTTCTAACATTTTCCTGCTGGACACTCTCCTCCTTCACTGTAAAGTCCATTCTCAGTGGATGTGCACTGGTGGCTTCAGGTTTCTACATCACACTGTACAAGTTGATACTGGACCAGGATGTTTGTGTCACAAATCATGCTCATAGGCCCTGCCCCTTAAAATCAGATTTTTAATGAGCACAGAGAAACTTTCCACTTTCAGCAGATGAATGTGAAAACTGTGGCTGTGTACTGGCAATACGATATCACAATACAGGTGTTACTATTCAGTATATTTGCTTTATTGCAATATTGTAAGCAAGGTGATATACTGCGAATTATATAAAAAAATCGAATTTTAGGAAAATATAGTAGGAAAGTAGTATAGTAGTAGTAGTATAAAGAACACACCACCATACGTACGCATGAAATCTGAGTAAAAAAAAGTTGCTGCATTTGTATTTATTACAGTCCCTTTAACATCCAACATCAGAGCGCTCAGTTTAAACTAGCAGTTGGGGGTTTAACCACAAAAATCAATCGTTTGAGACTTAATACAATATCACAAAGCAAAATATCGTGATATATTTTTTTATCTTTTCTCACACCCCTAGTGAAAATATCCTTCTAATGTCAGACTCTGCACATACATCATTCTGCACAGTGATGATCAAACATCACACTGTGGGAACAAGAAGAAACACTGATTTGTGGAGTTACTTGAAGGAACTTTAAACATTTAAGGTAAAATAAAAACAGCAAGATTACCACATAAAATAGTGAGTATTAGCTCATGTAGCCTATAAAAACAGCCAGTATGTCCTACACTGCTGTGTGAATATGTCCTTATATTGTTGTTTCATCACGGTTGCCATGAGGAACGCCTGCAATCTGACTCTTACATTAGGAAAGTGAATGCACTGTTCAGAGGTAATGGTCAAACTAATGGCAAGTCAATCCTCTTTGTAGCTGAGTTCATTTAGCTTTATGGGCAGAAAAATACTGTTTGGCTCAGGAACCACAGTAATGCATGCTGCTAATATAGAGTACTTATCCCGCTTGGGCAACCATCAGCGTCAGGCTGACATTATGAATGACTTAATATTTATGAGCTGCTAGCCCTGGTATCATACTGACTGACTGAGGTTCTGTTCCTGCAAAGCTGTGTGAACAGGAAGAATCCTTAAAATAGCTGAAAACAGGTAATCCAGTTTATCCGGCCTTTGTTAATTTGAGCAAAAATGCTTCATGAGTAAAAATACAACATGTTTGAAGCCATTGCTGGTGTCCCAGTTGTCAATGTAGATTTTCTACCTAGTTTAACAACACATGCTCTTCAAAGCAGTGCTTGAGGGCTTCGACAGCTTCCATGAGTGCTCTTCAGGGCAAGCTAGGAATAGACCTTTAGTCAGAAAAACCTGTTACAGCAGGAAGAGCACAGGTGTAGACAATAAAATGAACGATGGCTGAATTCCATTTAGCTGCTTCAGTTTCAGCGTCCTGGTATGCTGTCTCACTGTCACACTGTGGTGACTTCCTGGGACACTTGAATAGAACGGATCCATTGTTAAAGATGCCCAGACATTGAACAATAATGTGTGTTCCAGGCAAAAACAAAAGAGTATAAATTCCACATTCAAATCTTTAAAAAGGCATCTACTCCTTTTGTATCTTTAAAAGTATAATCTGTGTTAAGAAAGGTTGGACAGAGACATTTATCATTCAGCCTTCCTTAGTGGACAGACAGGGTGCTGCCAATCAGTCACTGACTGGACTTAAATCCCACAGTGTCACTGCTGGATTGGTTTGTTTTTTAATTACTTTAGTTCCTGCGTAATCTCTTCAGAATGTATAAATATGTCAACTTTTGGTCGTTGCTGTGCTGCTCAGTTTTCCAGGCTCAACAGACAATAACAAGTCTGATGGAAACGTATCTGGCAGGTCCAAAAGCTCAAGTTCTCCTCTGTGTGTGTGTGTGTGTGTGTGTGTGTGTGTGTGTGTGTGTGTGTGTGTGTGTGTGTGTGTGTGTGTGTGTGTGAGAGAGAGAGAGACAGGAAAGCCTGACAGCTCTGACTGTGTAATGCGCTGTTGCAGATGAACGGGACCTCTGGTACATACTGGATGATGACATAACAACCATACAGTGACAGTCACACATCCTATACAAAATAGTTCAACATATTATCTGTGTGAGGTCATGTTTGTGTGTGCATCGGTTGGCCGATTACGTGGTGTTTTGATATAGTTGTCGACAGCTGATGTCTGCGCTCACTAGGCCCAATAAACAAAGAATGTGTGCAGACACATCAGCACAGTGTGGCTGCTGTGGAACGGCGTTGGTGCTACTCTGTGGGAGTTTTGGGAAGGTGGTAAAAAAGTTAGCTTCTAGCCCTGTACTGTAACTCTCAAGCATCCTGCTGCTTACCTAACTGTCTTCAGTCACCACTGTCTTTTCTAAATGTTAACCCTTTTCTCCTAAATTACACCAAATCTAATCTACAACCGCCACTGGCTACTGTTGTATATCAAATTTGATGATATAGTAATGCAGTTTAATGACGTTGCTTCTAGGGCTTCACAACATGGTAAAAACATCACATTGCTATTATTCTGACATATTGCAAGATTATTCACGATTAGTGCAAACATTTTGCATCACAACAGAATTACATTACATTTTATTATACAGTCGCCCTGCTCTTTAAATATGTGCATCGGCCATTGAAATATCAGTTGACCACTAGTGCAGACCTCTACCATCTCCTCCCCTTATCTCTATCCAGCCATGCAACTGATTGCTGCATATTTTATCACTTCCCACAGTATTTCACACAGCTATTTGTGTGTACATCTGACTGAAAGAGAAGGAGAGAACTGAAAAAGAGAGAAAAGAGAGAATGACGATGGGAGGAGAAGTGTGGGCATGTTAGCTAGCACTCAGCTGCTGATGCAGCGATGGACCTCCAAATGATTTACATTCACCCCTAACCATTATCCCTTCTCTAAACTGAACTAAACAAAGCCTGTTACCTTCACCCAAAATAATCTAATCTAGTACATTAAATATGCAAAGAGTGGCCATAAAAACTGTTGCCTGGGAACTTCTGTACAGATCCCAGTACTGGGTAGGTACAGATTAGCCAGGCTATGAAAAGTACCAAAATACCCTGGTTTCAAAGTCTTGTCCAATATCCTAGAGCTGTCCCTGCTTCTCACATACCCTGCCTGCTGTCAGTCCCTAGCCTATCATGACACATCTCATCCAAACCCAGCTCCAGTTTGAGTCCCTCACCACTACCACTGCCATTACATTCCAGTCACTGACATTAATACCTATAATAAAGAATTACTACACAGAAACAGCCAGTCTTCTCTCTGATAGTCATATAGAGGCATCAGTATTAAATTAAGACTGTTTCATAACCAGTTAAAAGCTAATACTAAAAGTATATTTAAATGCAGGAAAGAAGCCTCAATATACAAACATACACTGACGATAACGTGCTTTATGTTGGTTCATGTTGCATAAATAGAACAAGGAGATTCACAGTTATCATCTCTGTTTACGTTAGGAAACTTCCTTAAAAAAATCCTTTTTACAACGCAGGGTTCTAGCTATCTGCCAATTATTGTTTTTCATACCTGGAAAATCTGCTAAAGTCTGACAAATTGAAATGAAAGGATGTTCTCCACAGTTACAGAGACACAACACCAACTATGTCACTAAATTGAACAATATGCTGAGATATAGGCCTGCTGTGCATAGTTTTCTTACATCCCTTAAAATCAAGAAGGCCCTGCGACCCGCTGTGAAGCTTTGGCAACCCATAGTTGGGGTTCTGAAAAGGTTTTCAAATATTATCAACTATATATTTTTAGGAATATTGGATGCTAAACTCGTGACAGGCACAAACTGGAGCTAACACAAATCCAACTCTTGTTGTGGTTACGGGTTAATTGTCCAGGTTGCAAATACTTTGTCTCCAAGGGGATGCTGATTTGTGGGTCGGATGAGCAACCAGACGGACCTGACTTCTATAAGCAGTAATCTGACAAACAGGTGACGCTTTAAATCTGATTTATACAACTCTATACTGTCTTTGTTGTTGTGTTTTTCTTTTTGTCCTCTCTCTGTTCCCCCTCCCTTTTCTGTTTTCTTGCAGAGCTTGTGTGGGGCAGGGGGTGTGGCTGGCTCCTCCTGTTGGCAGCAGAGGCACACCTGAATTCACTCAGCCTATTCCCTCCACCTCATTAGCCCGGTCTTCACTCCTGCTTGCTGCCAGAATATTCCATGCTCTCACTCTGCATGCTGTTCTCCTACGTTACCAGTGTCATTCCCCTGTGCAATTCTGCTGAAGACTTCCACCTGCCCGCTTCTGTTCTGGTTTTGGTTCGGATTGTTATTAAAGAATCTTCAGTTCCCACTCACCAGTTTGTGTGCATCTCTGCTTGGGAGTCCAAGACTTAAAGAGCTCAACACAAATGTAGTTGCTGAGAGAATAAATGCAGGTATCTCAAGAGTCACTGTGGATAGCAGTGGGGGACCTTCGGGGTCTTCTACGCCTTCAGAGAAGGCCTAAAAAAAACTAAAAAATAATAATACATTTAATAATAATAATAATACTAATAATAAAGTATTTAATAAAAAAAATATTTTTATTTTTTATTTCTGTCTCACTTAATTTAATACATTTAATACATTTTCTCTCATCTATGTTCTAAAGTTAAGCTTAGGGCTGGGCGATATATCAATATAATTTATATATCGATATATTTTTAAATGTGATATGGAATTAGACCAAGCTCCCACACTGAGTATGTGGAAGATGATGGGGACTGTGGCATGCGAGAAGATGTTGGGGAGACTAAATTGTGAAAATGATATGATAAAAGAAAAATGGGATAGTTTTGGTAGACAGATGTGTTAATTTGCCTGCCCTGCCTACTCACCTGCCTGTTTTATTTTTAGTTAATTTATTTTCAGATTTTGTATTTTATTTTATTTATTTATTATAGTTTTTATTTTATTTCATTTATGTGTTTATTTAGGACCTCCATTCTGTCTGCTTTGTTCAATGTTCGTTTGTCTGTTGTAATAAGGAAAATATAATAAAACTTTGAATTATAAAAAAAAGAAGTGGAAAGGCATTTCAAGACCGAAAATTATCAGCAATATCCATGGATGACAGGCTGTAAGAAAACAAACAGGCTGTGCTGCTGGAGTTTATTTTTTACAACTGACAAGTCATCCACCTGGGTCAGGATCGCCTGGGAGCTTTGGCACTGATGTCCATAGAGAAAGGACTTCTTTTGGAGTTCAAATCAAAGGACAAACTGTATGACGCCACCATCGCCCACTTCACAAAGAAAGACCGACGAATGGACTTCGTTTTCATGTAAGGTTAAGATTACTTGCCAAGTGGACATTCAGGAATTTGTATTTATTGCGGAGGTTGTCCCAGCGCAAATTGCCTTTAATTCAATATGTAATCAATCAATGTATCAAACGTATCAGAAGTGTGTGGTTGGATTTTTGTTTTCAGAGGGTTTTTATTCCCCCCATGCTCACTTGTCTGTCCCTTTCCCTGTGGAGAATTAAGGAGGTATAGTAGAACCTATAAATAAAAATTGTGACTTCGATTTATTTGACCTAGGTATTCATTGTGCCATGCGTAATTGCGCATGGAGAGGCATTTGCACTTCATTGCAACTTTAAAAAATAGTCTTTGTATTACCAGCTTTGTGTAACTTTTGGCGTATTGTGCTTTTGAAATTGTATTGTAGATTGATGATGCTCATGAATTTATTTGTCAATGTGTGAATGATTCGTAATGCGCCGTGATTTCATAGCGCTGTCCATGGTGATGAAATGAGCCTCGGTGTCTGTGTCAGCAGCGTCACAGGGTGACATTCTGGGTGACCTAATTTTACATTTCCAGATTTTGGCTTTAGAGTATCTTTATTTAATTTTAACTATGTAGCCTAAATGGTCTCCAGTTTTCTGAAGTTAATGTTGAGAATGTTTCTTGTTGCGGAGAATGTTATTGACGTTATGGTCTATTTGTTTACATCCTTGTCATCATTAATTAAAGGATTGCACTTGTTAAACCCTTTCAATTCGTCGTACTGTTGCTTTTTTCCGCGATGGTTTCTTTTCTCGGCGGTGATGGCCGAGGTGAAGGCCCAGCTGTGGTGCTCACGGTTCGCCACTGGTGGATAGAATGTACAAAATGCAACAATAATTCAATTCATTATTGGATATTTAAGTAAGAAGGTCTTAACTTTAAAAAAAAAAAGTCTAATTGTCAAGACAGTGCTGACAAACTGGTTTTACCCGCCGGAGTGACAGGAGCGGTCTGACAGGCTGAGCAGGCAGAAACAAGTGCGGTGGGAGGACAGGCGCGTGCACGCACTCACTCACGCACACTCATTATTAGCTTAGTGTAATGGATAATATATAGTCTGAAGGCAATAAGGAGGTTAAACTGGTACAGTCTTAAATCCTAGATTTTTACTTGCTTTCTCTTATTGACCTAGTTACCAACCATTAGCTAGAGATATCTATAGAAATGTGCCCATCTTTATATGTAGGCTGGCATGTAAATGGGCTACATTAGGTTATTATTCGCTTCTATCCGGTATTTACATGATATGGCACTCACTGTAGCCCAGAGGTTCTCTTTTTAGTCAAAATGTCAGTACAAAGTAACATTTTAAAGCTACAGTAGGTATCTTTTACTCACTTAAACTTTCACTATATCCTGACAGTAGAACATGAGACAGATAATGTGTGAAACAATCAGGTTCCTCTGGCTCCTCCTAGAGCTCCTAATGGCATTTGAAAGAATCCAATCAGAAACAAGAGAGATGCTTTGGGCTGGAGGCTTGAAGATAGACGCCCTGAGAGTGAGACTCAGCAATCAACCATCTTTCTTGGCTCTGAACACAGATGCTATCAGGATGTATAGGAAACGTTTCAGAAAATATGATAAATGTAATATTCTAAAAGTTCCCTACTGCAGCTTTAGGCTACAGGACAGTTAGCCAGTAGCTAGGACTTGTTTGAATGTGGCTGAGCTCGAGGAGCCGGTTTACTTTGAGGAAATAGTTCCTGTGCAATGCAACCATGCTGCTCTCCATCACTACACCATCATGGTTGTGTGTGGGTGGACACAAACACCCACAGCCACCACAACAACAAACACAAAGCACAAATACAACTCACAGCCTCTGTAGCTACAACAGTGCAGTGAGACAGTCTATTTGCATACCTACACTGTAGCCCAGTGTAATGTCACAGTGGTCCTTTCATGCTCAGCACCACTCCCACCACTCCCACCCTGCGCGATGCACAAAAGCCAACAGAGGAGCAGAGGGACCGGAATACGTTCAGCTGAGGAAAGCTGGGCCAACAGTTCGATGAGAATGAGTCAAATGCGATTTAAAGTGTACCTGAAGTGTCTTTCGAAGAGCTTTCTCGATGATAAGTTGATAGGAAAACGCCTGTCCGCACCCCTTCCCTTCCCTTCTTCTGCAGCCCCGGACACAGCGCACTGAGGACGGCTCTCTTCAGGCAGCGAGCCAGTCACTGCCGCTGCCAAAGATAGGCTGAGTGCGAGCAGATGAGCCACTCGCACACTAAAAGAGGAGGACGAACTGTCGCTGTGTAAATGTAGGCGTTGACTTTGATGCGAATGCTGCAGCTACACCGTTGTCTAAGATGTGATTAAATAACTATTTGTCGTAGTATATATAGTGTCGTAGTAGTATATATTAGCATTTATACATATATAACGTTGGGTAAGTATGTATGTAATAAAAAATATATAAAATGATCAAACATTATGTGAATAAAGTGTAATAAATGTGAGATAATATAAGAAAGACAGTATGTATTATTACTGTACAGTATAGTTGTCCTGTGGGTATAAATAATAATAATAATAATAATAATAATAATAATAATAAGAGGTATGATAATTCAAAATAGTATAATACAGTTATAATTTGTAAAAGATACAATAAATAATTTTTTTAGAATCATTTTACTGGACTGTGAGGTAAATGTATCTCCGCTGCAATTGATCTGATTTAGAAAAGTACAGTTTGTTCCATTGAGCGCCTTCAATTGTACAAATGAACATTTATTGTGGTCAGAGTGAGAGCTTCACTTTCTACCTCTTACTGCAGGATATGACGTCAGCCACTGACACGCCCACCTCAGACACATGGAGGATACTTTTTTAAAAAAAGAGGTACATGTAGGGTAAATTGGCGGGCAGTGTAACCAACACACACAACTGCTTTTATTAGGGACCGAGCCAGCGACCGCTGGAGGTCCCTATTGTATTTGCTATGTTTCTATGTTACTTATTATTTTTAGCACTTTTGACGTTGGCGTTTTTAAACTACTTTTTCGTGTTCCTCCTACACGCTTTGTCCGATTCGCACAAAATGTTTCACCTAGCACCCGGGGACCGCCCTGGCAAAAAAAGTAATTTGAACATTTTTGAAATTTCAAACAATAAGCACGCTATAAAATTAGCACTTCCTGTGGATTTTTCGTCAAAAAAGGAAGTCCACATTGGTTTGTCCGATTGACACCAAACTTGGGTCCATAGTTCCACATGTCTTCCTTAAGCATTGTGCACAATTTCAGGTCATTTCCACTAGGTGGCGCTCTTTAGAATGAAGAAGTTTATATCTCTACAACGGTATGTGTGATTAAGATGAAACTTTGTACGATGCTTCCCCATGGCTCCCTGAGGCTCATTTAAAAAGGACAAAAAAATACGCCTCTAGGTGGCACTCTTTTGGCATGATAAATCACTGTCCGGAGACCGTAATAGTTATGAATATGAAATTCACAGGGCACGTGTAGAGCAGTGCCTGAAGCTCACATACCAAAAATCGTGTTTGTCGTGTGTGTAGCGCCCCCTACAGGATAAAAAAACAGCAGCCCCGGCGCCACGTTTCACCGATATGCACGAAACTTGGTAGGCACGTGTAACATGCCGGGACCTACAAAAAAGCCTCTTGGACCCATACCCGAAACCCCACAGGAAGTCGGCCATTTTGATTTAAAGTTTCACTTTCGGCGAACTTTTCGCGTTGTATTTGAACAAACTCCTCCTAGGGAATTTATCGGATCTGCTTCAAAATCGGTGAGTACAGTCACAAAATGGTGCTGATTAAAGGTTGTGCTATTTGTGCATGTACGTTGAAAGGCGTATCCGTGGTGTGCCCTCAAAGTTGGCCATGGTGAATTCCGTGAGCATTTTCTGTGATTTTTCGCGTTGTATTTGAACAAACTCCTCCTAGGAAATTTATTGTATCTGCTTCAAAATTGGGTTTTTTTTTATTCAAGAAAATAGTAAAGAAACATCTGGTTCTAGTACAGATATGTGAGGTAAAATGGAGTTTTTATTAAGATAAAGGTCAGAGGCCATTGAGAGGCCCCTAGCCTAAACGTTTCATAGTAAGAATTACAACGTTGAACCTCATGTCCTACTAACACTGCATATGTTGACAAGAATATCACTTGAACTTATAATAACATGTAACTAAAATTTATAGGCCTTCAGATACCACACTTGTTACTCCACAGGTCACTGCAAAAAATGCTAATTTAAAGGACTATATAATTATATTATACATAATATACTTTGCTTTGATTTACTCTCCTGTCAAGAGTTAGATGAGAAGAGCTTGGCACAAAGACTGGAAACAGGGGGAAACAGCTAGTCATTATTGCCATGAGTTAAACCCAACTCAAAAATGAATTGTTGAAGTACGTAAGTCGGTTAATTTGTGCAGAATTTTCAGTCTTGGTGATTTCATTTCAGTTTGTTATGTTGACAAATTTTCTTTAAATTGACTTTATATCATTACAAAAATGTAAACCCCACTGCTATAGCACTATTATGCTGTATACCTTCATTCTTTTGTTTGTATTTCAGTTCCTAAATCCCCATATGCTCAAGTATCCAAATCTTTTCATGATCACCCAAAGTGTGGAGATGAAAAAACAAGTAGGCTATTGTTAAAAACTTAATTATAGCAGTAACAGTTAAATGTGCCTTTCATTTTAATAATTCATTGTAAATAGTTTTTATCTTATGTCAGCTGTTTGGACAGGTAATGTAATAATTTGCTGGCCACTTAAGTGGTAACATTTGTATAAAGAACATGCATTTAAGGTATTTAATTAGTACAATTAACTTAATTTACTCAAGTTACCATAACAATAAATATACAAGTTACTTTTAGTTAACAAACTTAAATGGTTTAAGGCAATCAGTTCAGTGAGTCATCTACAGCTCTGAAGTCTTTATATGAACCAGCACAACTAGAATAAGAATTCTGCCACCAGTAAAAATAATCACTGAACAATGAGTGTAGCATAAAACAGAACACAAACACCCTCATATATTTCCATTGTTGTTTATTGGTCAGTATTTCTCACAGGCAATAATAATCATTGTCATAATAGTGCACTTTTCCTTTTTTGTAATTATACTACAGACATTTTCTCTTCGTCGTTGTCGTCATCATCATTAATCGTGTTAGCAGTTTTCTCAACCCACCCTCCCCCACACACCTCCTCCTCCTCTCTCTCTCTCTCTCTCTCGCTCTCTCTCTCTCTCTCTCTCTCTCTCTCTTCTGACGTCACAAATTCCTCCAGAGTGGAAAAGAAAAACTTTTTCTACTGCGGAGTCGAGTGGAGGTTTCACAAGATGGGGGGTGCAGGTCATGGGCGGGTTGTGGGGGCTCGGGGCTCGGGAGGAGGGCAATATGGGCGGGAGACAAGAGATTATAGTCGTACAATTCTAACTGCAGAAGAAGAATGAGCAATAATGATGAGAGGAAGAGATGTACGGTGACTACAGTGTCGATAAAAGATAGTGAACGCTACATAGATATGGATGGCATACAATGGAGACAGAGACAGGCATACAGTGTATACAAATGTATACAGCATCTGCGTTGAAGTATACAGTGTATAAAACGTATAGAAGGGCAGGGGAGGAGGGGACGATTATATAGGGGGGGTGACATATGTGCAGTTGGGAGGGGCGTGGAGCAAGATTCAAGAGATACAAAGAAGAGGAATGGAGGGGTGTAGAAAATGTTAAGTAAATGGGTGAATGTGGGGGGTAAAGGAGGAATGGGGGAGGGAGGGGGGAGATTTCTTTCTATAGGAGTTTTTGCGAGCGCGGGAGCCTCTCAGCTGCAAACATGCTGAGGGTCCCGTTGTGTCTTTGAATGGTTTTTGATGCAGTTTGCTAAGAGCAGAGCACAATCCGGAGCGGCCTTTCTTTCTTTGCTTTTCCCATTTCTATCCTTTAACTAGCTTTTTTCTCTCTAAAAATAGATGTAAGGTGAACTTGACCCGACCATATGTTTTTTTTAAAAAAAGACTATGACATAACACTCTCTTTTTGGTATTGGAGTGTCACTTTACACCTCCCTGGCCTTTGACCTTTCAGATGTGTAAGGGGCCCACTCTGAGTGGCAGGATGGGAAAAGAAAGCCTCTGATTGCATGAGGGGGGGGAAATGCATTTGTATCTAATCATTTGTCCACTGAGAGTGCTGTTCAACTTAAAAGTCCAACACTGTCAAGCAGAACAGGCAAATAGTTTCCCCAAAGCTTTCTAAAGCTATTCCGAAACCTCACCTGTGGCTATGACCTTATCAGACATGATATTCTGAAAAAGTTGGATGCACTTGGATGTGCAAACAGAACAGATGTAATCTTGTGTAAACAGATTCTAGGATGATAAAGCACACATTCTCCAGCTTCATCTCCAGAAATTTGTGAAAAACTAAAGAAGTAAAGAAAATGCCTGATAAAACTGCAAATGAGTACTGTTTCTTTCCATTCTTGTTCAGCTGTTTCAGTTAAGTGTGCGCAGCATGTGAAGAGACCACTGAAAGTCAATCCGAAATGTGTAATGGTTTCAGTGGAATATTGGTTTGCATGAATAAACAGTGCTTCACAGGGAATGAATATGACAAGAAAATACATTTGTGTTTACAGTCACTGTCCATGAATTATTTAGCAACAAGGCTAAGAGTCTGCAGCCATGCTAGCTTCTCTGCGAGAGTGGCACTTGAAGTGGTTTGAGCTATATGCTAATGTCAGCATGCTAACACGCTCACAAAGGCAATGTTCACATGTGGATGTTTACCAGGTATAATCTTAACTTGGTAGCGTGCTAACATTTGTTATTTAGCTCTAAACACAAAGTGCAACTGAGGCTGATGGAAATGTCAAGTTTTGCAGTTTGTACTTCTTCATAAACCAAAGTACTGGACAAATTTTGACCTGATGATGGCGCCAGATGAAAAGTCAAGGGATCACGAGTCCGAAGGATAGTATACATCGTTAATGTCTGTCCAAAAGATCAGCAAAGATATTTCAGTTTGCACTGAAGTGGTGGACCAACCAACAAACCGACATTGCCATTCCTAGAGCCACATCACTAGCCTGGCTAAAATAGACTTATAATTTAAAAGGCCTGTGTGTGTGTGTGTGTGTGTGTGTGTGTGTGTGTGTGTGTGTGTGTGTGTGTGTGTGTGAAATTCCAGCAGCTATGAACAAAATACAAAGATGGAAAGTATTTTTGCAGCATCAGTTTTCATAAGTTTAAAGAAGAAGGAGGGGAGCTGTTTTTCAGTTTTTTCAGGGAAAGCTCTGCAATGTCGGACATCTTGAAAGGGACATTTCCCTGTCTTCACCTGCCTCCTGCTTCTCATAAAAAAAATATATATATTATACTTTCAACAAATACATGGCAAATAAATAAATAAATAGATAAATACATTTTCAATAAACATATGGAACAAAAAATATGTTAACACTCTTGTAATAATTTCAAAAAAGTTTGTTGACAATCACATGGTTGGCGCCACCCTCTAGTTTGCTGGTGGCAAACACGTAAACATAAAAAAAAAAAAACAGACACAGAAAGACCAGAGCAGAGTTAAAAATGAAGGTATGGATAGAAAAAATAAAACAAGCTAAATTTCATTCTTTATGTGTGGCTTCATTCCCCCCCTTCCAGGCAGTATGTGTGCAGAGTTTTTGTGATAGACACACCCGAGTCCTTTTTCTTTCTCGCTTTTCTTGTTTTCCTTTTTGTGAAAAGTACATTAATTGTTCATCTCCACCTGCGAGGCAGAAAGAGCTGAGGCTTTTGTTGGGGCTTTGAGTCGCCCTGCATCGTTCTGCATCTATTGTCACAGGAACATAGGAAGGGTTTCAGTTGCCTAATTTCAGGTACAAAAAGCCTAAACTTGGTTGTCCTGTTTGATCAGCCTCTTTAGTTTAATTCCACATTTCCATCATCATCCATCTTCAATTTAATGTGATTATATGGACATTAATTCTCTTTTCAGTTAGGCTAGATTTGGAGTTCCACACAAGTTTTTCATACATACAATATTCACATGCTGATATTGTGCACTGAAAGAGGTATTGGTCACTGTAACCATTCCTCCTCTCCACGCTGCCTACAAAGTGATCCCTTCTTAAAGTGACTCCAATATAAGAGATAGGACACATATGCAGGGAAATATTTACTTTAAAGTTCAGCTGAAGCTAATTAGCTACTAAGTAATTAGTTTCAAATATTAGGTCTCTGAGGAGGCTGAGTAAGCCAAATGAAATGTGCTTGTGACACATTTGCGTCATATTGACCAGATGGTATTAAAAGAAACAGAGCCAGAAAAAAACACCAGCTTACCAGCCTTCTAGCTGTAATTCTGAGTCAGCGATATTTAGAATTTAGTCGGTAATAATATCTCCCACTTGCTAAAAAGAACTACAGAAAACAAACAGACAAAAAACGGGCTTATTATTTTCTACCTAGCAACAAAATCGGCTAGATGTTAGCTGAGTTGATAGAAAACTAATTTTAACATCAGAACTATTAAAGTATAATACTTCAATATTGATAGCTATATACACGCTTATTTAGCTAAACGTAGCCTGAAAAAAAGGTGAGTATCTCTTCTGCTACAGCCCAGCACACCACATCAACATGTTGAGAAACACAAAGACAGGCTTGCTGTTGCTAGCTAGTTAGACTAATTCAGATTGCTAAGTCCTCATATTAGCTTCAGCTAAACTAATTCACGGACTGTGGATTTTGGCCCCTATCTTTCACAGTGGATTTGCACTTGAAGGGATTGCTTTCCAGCCAGTATAGATGGAAGAGAAGGAACTAGAGCAAACAATAACTATTTCAATGTACATATGTTATATGAATGTTGTATTAACAACCTATTGTTTAACAGAACATAGCTTAAGTTTCTGACTACTAGTTTTTTCCTTTGTCCTTCCTTCGCTACCAAATGGATTTAGTTTCTAGCTATCCTCTGTTTTGTCTCCATCTATCTATCTATTCATCTCCCTCTCTTCTAGGAGTTTTCACTTGTGAGACATTCTACCTGTGGTGTGACTAGTGTCCTCAAAATGGGGCTAAATCTAACTAGCTATCCACTTTTTCTCCTCCATAAAAGGCAATACGGTATCATAGCTTTATCAGTGTAATTCAGAAATAATTGTGGGACGTTCTGCTGCTCATACATACTAGGAAAAGTTGTGTCTTGTCTGTCTTATTTCGATATACCCCTGGCTCTAAGGCTACATTACGTAGATCCATTCTCCATCATTTTGCTGTTGTTTTTCCTCTGCTCTCCTTGATCGTTAAAGTACAGCATTAGGTTTGCTAATTATTAAGAAATAATATCCACTTTAACAATCAAGTCTATATATCCAGACTCCTCCTGTAATTCTCATTCCTTTCTCGAAAGACAACCTAATTTTGTTGCTTTGCTTGAGAATACACAGTTGTCTTCAATTAGAAAGTGAGGGGAAGAGAGGAGAGCTTCCTGTCATGTGACTCAACGTGTTTGGGCAGGTGGTGTTGAGGAGACCTGATGATCCCGGTGACAGCTGGCTGGTCAGAAAATGATAATAGAGAATGACTTAAGGGCCTGTGCCATTTTGACAGACTGATGGGAGGTTTCCTGTTGAACTTGGACCATGTGTTGCATGTGATTGGTCGGTGGGAAGGGCATGTGCTTTTTTGATTCATCAGAGAGGGTGAACAGTGTGTTTCCCTGGCTGTAAGCTTTTCTTGTATTTTTCTGGTAAGTTGGGACTTAGTCTGGACGTCCTGTCTTCAAATCGGTCCTTCCGGGGTGAAGCTGCCCTTGAAGGCTGACTAGAGATCAGCTCAACCTGCCTCCGCCACCCCGGCAAGTATACATTTCTACTAAAATCAGCCACTTGCAGGAGTTATCATATCCCTGGATCAGCTTCAAGGAAAAACTTCCCCCTCCTACATCCCATTGCTTTGGAATAATGGTAGGAAGCGAGGCAGGAATTAGGAAATGGGGATGGAAAGAATGTGGGAAGTATTGAGGGAAAGAAGAGAGAAAGGCCAGGCAGATGATCCTCGCCTCTCTTCCACAACATTCTTTTCAGGGATGAGACTGTGTCCCGTTGGACGATGAGAGGAGTCTCGTCTTGTCTTTCCCCGACCCCCGCCTTTGTAAGGCGGTTCCGCTGCTGCTCCCGCTTCCACTTCCACCATCTGCTGCACGCTCCTTCTCTCCCCGCTCTCGCTCAGATCCGCTTTCGGAGCGCCGGGAATTCTGACGCGAAGGAGTGCTGGGTTGCCGGGAAAGCTGACCATTCTTCTCATCTGGGGGGCCAGGGGTACAATCAGGGAGAGAGGAAGTGAAACAAACAACTTTGTGTACTGTGAGTGTGTTCAGACTGATTCAGGCTACATTTGGGGACACATTACAGCATGAAGACTAGTTAATTGGGGACAGCTTGTTCAATTGGGGACAAAAGCCGTGTCCCTAATTTGTAAAAAGCTGATTTTTGGGTCAGTGGTTAAGGTTAGGGATGGATAGGTGGAAATGAATGCAAGTCTATCTAATGTCCCCAGAAGTAAAGGTGTGTGAGCTACTTACCAGCCAGTGCCTGCACAGAAGGCTGATCATGAGTACTCAGGAGCTGAGCCTGAATGGTTTCCACCACTCTCTTGAATCTGCGACTGGGACCTGCAAGAAGAGAGGATCAACTCATCATTCATTCCAGGTCGTCCTCCATGTTAAACCGCCACGTTTCTACAGTTCTATAGGGCTGTTTGCGTTTTACGTGCCTTTCTCTACTTCCATAATTTCTCCTTCACCCTTGGAAGGGGAAGGTGAGGTGTAGGAGTTGCAATTTGCAACTTCACCACTTGTGCCACAAAATCCTACACACTGGCCCTTTAAAGCAACTACAAGGAACTTTAATTTTGTGTTGATTCTGGCGGCCCCTGTGGACAAAAGCAGTAGTCTCTCATTTCATTGATTTAAGAGGAATACGACCCGGTGGCAGGCATCAAGAATAACTATATAGAAATAGCATGTCTTCTCGGGGATGGTCTTATTTGGTCATATAGAGGCATCAGTATTAAACTGAAACTTTTTCATAACCAGTTAAAAACTCCTTGTAGTACGTTTAACATGTATGACAGCCAATAAAACTGATACCTGTTATTAGAGTGAAAGTTACACTGTAGATGCCCAGCTCTCTTCTTCCTTCCCTCTCTGTTCGTTCCCTTTCTCGTTCCCTGTCTCCCTCAGAGAAAGCAATGTCCACCTACAGGAGCAAAGGACCACACATGCTGGAGTTCACAACCAAAATTGCTCAACTTTTTCTCACACACAAACATCAAAGATTGTTAGTTATGTTTTTCACATTAGAGCCTCTATGTGATTATTATTGGTCTGTGTGTTCTTTCCATCCATTTGTCTCAGCGTCCATGGGTTGGATCTGTTGGATTGTTGATTATACCGCTGGGGGGCACCAAAGTTGTACATTTTCAAATTCTACACATAGTGGCTTTAAGGATAAAGCTGCAAAATAAATTAAATAAGCAGCTCTCAGTTGTTAACCAAAGTATGTGTAAATTCAGACCAGAACAAAAAAGCATGCAATATAAAATTATTTGCACATTTGATTACATGGGTGCATATTTGATGCAATATGTGTGCAAACATACATCCACTGACTGAAAACTGCAGCTTGAACCAAGAGTTATTCATGAATTTTCTCTAAAGCTGCTTCAAAGTAGGAGTTCCCAAGTATCTACATTGCATACCAGAATTAGATGTAAATTGAGTATCTGTATTATTGAATCTACATGTATAGGATGCCCAGTGCCTGAAATAGGCCAGTACTCACCAATACTGAGTACTGGCACTTCTGATTTTTGTCCACATGAGTACCCTTATGTTTTATTGAGTACCGCCTACCTCTGGTGAGCATGGCTGTACCGACCACTGAGGTCATCGCTATTTTTTCCTAGGGGTAAACAATAAAAGTTATAAAATAATTGTCTAAACCCCCCCTAGCAAGTTCAGTATTTGGACCTCTGTATTTCTAAAACCTTGCACACAGTAGTGCTAGTAAGGTACTCCTAAACAACTGCGTAACTGTGTCTGTGTCAACATATAGATAGCTTAACGCTAAGAAAACAGTACTGAAAATGTCCTTGTTAAAAAGGATAAAAAAATGCCAAAAGAGTTAGGGTTAGGGTAATGTTGTGTTTAGGGTTAGCGTTGTATGGAATTAGGGTACTGGCACCTTTTGTGGTCCATTACAGGCACTGAGGATGCCTACATTGCATTACAAACACTCAAACTTGTAAAAAAAAAAAAAAAAAGAAAAAGGTAATAATACTTGGAACTTGACAGGCTTCTGGAAGACAGAGGGACCGCCAGAGGACTTGTACTCTGCCCGGAAACTGTTCTGAGACACCACGCTGTGGCTGAGGGACGGGATCTGGACAGGCAAAAGAAAAAGGTGATGCTCGGTAAAAAAGATAAAATCTCAAATCAGTGCCCTTTAACGCCACAAATGGTAATGCTGGAGGTTGTCGAGGCTTATCTAAGCTCAACCGTACTCACAGAGAGAAAGGCATGGACGATGTCAGCCTTGATAGAGCTGAGCGGCTTGTCTTGAATCAAAACAAAGATCTGCTCCTCTTTCTCCAGGCTGATGAAGTTACCGAACCAGGACCTCTTAGCCAATCTGCAAATAAACAAGTTTGATGTGCGACACATTAGTTCTGTTCACACATTCCACATACAGGAGAAATGAACTAGTATACAAAATATTTGGGTTGGATGTGTTATTTTTAACTGGCCTGTAGTGACTGACAGAGTGTTCAGTCAGAGACACTCACGTCAAGAAACTGACTATTTATAGAATTTTGTCCATTACTGTTAAATTTAGCTGAAAAAATCAGAGCAGTGACGAGAATGAAAATCCCCTTAACAAACACATTCATAATTCATAACAGAAAATGTAAAAAGTAGACTGGTATGGCTATGATTGAAGGCTACTGACCAGCTGGTAGCCAATCAGTTGGCAAATGAGCCAATGATTTTGAAGCATGAATGAAAGAGCTGATGCTGACGCCAGTGCACTAACGCTATTCTCCATTAATCCTAATAGAGAATATATACGTGTAAAGTGTGAGATACAGAGCACCATTAGCATTGATTTGGAGTTATGTTTTATAAGTATTCACTCTTATTTTAGCTTTATTTTGCTCTCCACAGCTCCTGAGGACAATATCAGGCTCTTTAGCTGCTAAATGCTCCACTGTTTTACCAGCTAGTTGCTAACTTTGTCTGCCGTTTGGTGCTAGACAGATACTGTGTGGGTTTATCAGCACTTTTTTTTTTACTAAGAACTGCTGTTTGCTGCTGCTGGAAATGAAGCTGATGACAGCGGTGAGACTGACCCAAACCATAATAATTAGCTGAACATTGGGTTCTCAACTCCTTTAACTTACATGTACTCGCGTGATCCATTGTGAATATAAGAATATTGATTAGAGCCACTTTAAATCATACTTTCAAGAACTGTTTCACTAGGAGGTGGCTAAAATCAAAGCCACCCACCATTAGTGAATGGATACAGATAATACATGAAATATATATGTTGGAAATGCTCTCATACAATAAACCTATATGGCCAGACTTTAGCTAACTTGATAGAATGAAAGAGTGGGAGTGAGAAATCTAACATCATTCATATTATATTCTATCACATCTAACAGCTCACTCTTTATTTATTTTTACTTTTCTTTCCTTTTTTTATTCTTTAAAATGAACTGTGTTCAACTGTAAATAATTTCAGCTAATGTTGTGAAAGACATTTTTTGGAAGAGTTAAGCTGTAAATTGGTTTTGTGTGTTCTGTGAATCTACCTGCAGTGGTACAGATACTGTCTAAATGGATGAATGTGAGATAATAGCTTTTCTAAAATAACACCACATTTTTTTTGTGTGTCAATTCGTCCTACTACCAGGATAATGAAAAAGTGAATTAAAACAAGTTTTTTCTCAACCCTGGAAACAATAGTTGGCTCTGTTTTGGAGCAGGGAAGCAAGACAACTCCAGAGCCACTACTAAATGGACCTTGTGGAGAGAGGGTTTTGTCACTGAAGACAACAAATTTTACATTCTGTATTGTTCTTAAATAGAAAACAGAGAAAGACAACCTGAGACATGTGTGGACTTACTCTGGACTGGATTCTGGAGTCAAACTGGACATGTCCTCCGATGTTGGTACTAAAAAAAAAAGAAAAACAGACAGAGAGGAGAGAAGAAGGAAAAGGGCAGTGAATCTTGATGACAGCCCCTAATTTAATTGTCCTAATTACAGATTATCACAGAATCAGACATTACTCAACACAGCCGCAGGCTGCAGTCTGGGGCTGTGGAAGTCTCTTGATAATTATAGATTCTATCTTGGATGTGAATGCAGAGTAGGAGAACTCACACTGATGGAGAAAATATTTCTCATCCAATTAGTGGAGAGGATGCACACTACCTCATTCACTTGGTTTTTTAAAAATACTTCACCCACCTTGCAGTTTGCGCCGATGGAAGCGCGGCGAGCCCAGAAGGTTGTTTTTGAACGAGTTGAGCCTTGTTCTCCAGTGGGCAGAACTTGAGGCGGCCAGACCGCCACTGCCACCGGGGCTGGAGGGTGGGGTCAGTGACAGCGAGGCCCCGCCGGCTCCGTCCGCTCTGGAAGAAGAAGATGAGGAGGAGGAGGAGGGAGGGGTGGTGGAGGAAGGGTGTTGGATTTGGTGCACAGGCGTGCCCAGCGGGGTGGGCAGCGGTGAGCCCTGCGGCGTGACCTGTGACACAGGAGGAGGGGTGGCAGAGGAGTTAGAGGACGAGTGCACATTCTTGGACTTGAAGACAGAAGGAGAGGGGAAGTTGAAGAAGCGTGGGATGGGGGAGAGGAGCGGGGAGGGGGATGGGGAAGGGGAGCGTGGAGTCTGGAGAGGGAGGGACTTCATGGAATGGAGCTGGGGCCGGTCAGTGGGGCCCTTTGAGGGCAGGGTTTGTGTTTTTGGGTCTGGCGTCGGGCGAGAAGGCCGAGAGGTGGTGGCACTTCCTGGTTTGGGGTCTTTGGAGGAGGAAGCGGAGGTGGGGGTGACTTCTGATTGGTTGAAAGTGAAGACCGGGCTCTGATGGACAGACAGAGAGAGATGGGGAGAAGGATGGACAGATGAGAGAAGGGAATGGTCATGAGTTATGATTCATGGACACCATTCTTAAATGAGCAAGACTCTATCAGATGCACAAAATGGAAGATGGGTATAGTTATGTGTGTGTTTTAGTCCCTTACAGACTGTTGTTATGGGGCAGCATGATGTGTGAATGAAATGGGAATGTGTATGACTGAGAATGTGACAGTATGATGGAAAGGCATGGCTAGCAGTGACAGTCCGACAAATAGTTCCCAGAGAAAAAACAGCAGTACAGGAAATTTGGTTTTGTGCTTTTGATGGCCAGAACTGATATTTATATATTGAAGCTGGTAAGACAATATGTTTACTATATATATATATATACTGCATATAAGAAAAGACTAGATACAGCAACTTTCTGATACATCTTTTAACTGTTTTTAATCTACAACACTTCAGAGAGCTAACTGGTTGAAGCTGTACCAAACACAATGGTGCCTTCAAGAACCTTTATAAATATATATAATATATAATAATTATTGCAAGTTAAAGGATAAGGCTGAAATTATTCTATAGTTGTATTATTGTAAACGGTTAGTACAAAAAAACCCAAAACCAATATATTAAATCAGTGGTTCCCAACCTGTGGGTCGGGACCCCCACTAGGGGTAGCCAAAGCTTCACAGGGGGTTGCAAGGGCCTTCTTGATTTCAAGGGGTGTAAGAAAACAAAAAATATACACAGTAGGCCTGTATGTCAGCATTTCACTCATTTCTGAAAATAAAACTAAATAAAATTGTTATTTTTAAAGATTAGATTATTATTTAAGATCTAAACTTGTCCTGCGTTAGAAAAGTACATATTTAAAACAAGCAGAGCTACAGAACAATGGCCAAGATTCATGGAGAAGAAAATACTGAATTTGTAAAAAAAAGAAGCCTATTAAGTATGTAGGATTGTTTACAAAACATAATACAGACAGATAATTGTATAAAAAGTTCCTAAAAATATCAGGAAAACTCAAACTTCCTGCAGTATTTGGGCAGTTTATCAGTTGTTCTCTACTGTTATTGTAAACATTGAATATAATATGAAATATTATATTTAGTCAGTGAGAGAGAAGGGGTCCTTTAAGGAAAAAGGTAGAAATAAAATATATTTTATAGTAAGAAATATGTTTTACCCTGTTGCTGCAAAGTTCAATATTTTAATGTAGTTTTAATCAACAGATGTTAAAAATGAGTGATGGGGGAAACTGTGAGTATTAATGCTGCTTACTGTGCCAATCCCCCACTCTCATGAATGTAATTATTTAGTCAAATTATGTGATGTAAGGTACAGAACATCACATTTTACAGACCAGGACAGGATCGTTACAGGGCATAGGGAGATTGAAATGGCTAAGATTATTTTAGAGAAAGCAGGTATCTGATGTAGCTGTGTAACAACAACAACACAAAGATGGTTGATTCGTCTCAAAAAGTTGAACTGTGTCTCCAGACATCTGGTCAAACCCTATCATTTCACTCTGATTATCAACGCTAAGGCAGCTATAGGTCAGAGGAAACAAATATCTCACAGTTGAACAGAGTAAAACTGAAAAGAATAAAGGGAAGTTCTTACCCTTGGACTGCTGAGAGGACTGGAGGACAGACCCGTGGACGCTCCGCTGACAGAACGAGACCTTTGGAAGACAGCAACAAACAATAAATAATAATCAGTTCAGTCCAAGTTGAGCTTGGAACAGTGTGTTAACTTAGCTGTTGTCAATCATTTTCCCATTAATTTAACTCTCATCATATGTCAGTGCTGGTTTGTACCTCTGGCTGTGTGCATTAGTGTCCAGGGCCCTGCGAGGTGGGGTGGGAGACCCCTGGTCTGTGACGCTGAGGACCTCCAGGCTCTTCCTCTCTGGACGACAGCGACCATGCCGCGTCAGCATGGGGGAGTCCACGCGCTTCCTGGGTGGGTCTTGGATGACAAAAATATTACATTGAAAATATGATTTTAAAATTTACGTCTTTTAAAAGTTCTTCTGAAATTTGGAGTGACATTCTAAAAGGTCAAAGCCAAGTTCATAGTAAAAATAACATTTGATTTCAAAATCAAGCTTTTATCTTGTTGTTCTTGACCATCCAAGGGTTGAAGTAAGTGTTCTCAAGTGTGAACCTAAGGTAGCCATTTTAAAAAAAAATGGTACCATCATTTACTGAATGAACATCATGCTGTATGGAAGAAGACTGAAACTAGAGATAAACTTATAAGGAAACTGCTTAGCGAGCTAATAAATCAAGTGAGAAGTTGGGTCCTTTCCCCATAAGACTCCATACTATGACTTTTTTGCAGCCAATGGAGCTGCCCCCTGCTGGCCTTTACACAGAATGCATGTTTAAGAGACACCATGTTGGCTTTACTTCACAGACCTGGAAGCTCTGTCCATTATATATACTGTCAGTGGTTCTCACCTATGTCATTTCTAGGTGGCAGATCCTCATCTTCACAGCTGGGGTATCGCTCCTTCCTGTCCAACAGGAGGTAGTAGATCATCTTCTCCTGGTTCTCCCTGCAGAAAAACATGCAGAGAACCAGAAACCGAAAGTCAGAAAGAGAGGAGGCCGAGTGGTAGAAGTGGTAGGACACAGGTTGTCACAAATCTCCTGACAACTATGTCTGGCCCCATTTTGGAGGCAGATAATGGCAATTTGTGTTGTTGTTGTTAAAAGCAACAAAATAAATATAGACATTGTTTCAAGTCATTCAAAGTTGCTGCTTGAGTAAGAAAGTCAGCCCAGTTGACAATTTTGTTTTGCTTTGTTAGGGTCACCGCAACTGATGACCCTAACGGTCCAGTGTGTAACATTAAGGAGCATCTATTGTCAGAAATGGAATATAATATCCATAGGTATGTTTTCATTAGTCTATAATCATCTGAATATAAGAATTGTTGTATTATCGTTACCTTAGTATGAGAAGTTTTTATCTACAGACGCCACAGGTCGCCTTCAGTCCACCATGTTGAAGTGCCATGTTTCTACAGTAGCTCAGAACGGACATACCAAACTGGATCTAGATAGGGCCTTATGTGTTTTTCGAGTGTTTAGGTCCATGGTAGTTCACACGTTCTGCTGAGATGCGAATAGGGTGGCCATTTCCTTCACATCAAAAAGGAGGAGGTCACGGGGACACGCAAGCAGATATTGTTTTGTATGATCCGGTTTTAAATGTTAATGTTTTTCCACCAGATTACATAAAGGTGCATACACATACCACATAGCTAATAATAAATATACAAGATACAGCTCATGACAACGTGCTCTTCCAATTCAGATTACATAGGTCTAATAAACATCATACAGAAACTGTTCTTAATGTTTTTATCTGGATAGATAAAGGGTAAAAAAAAATGCAGCACCTTCTGTTTCAGATGTATAGGCTTTGCCTTGGCTTTGCCTATCTACATATGAGTATGAGCATTTTCAGAATTTCAGTCCAACAACCGACGTTAGCTCACGTTACGTTCTCTGTCGCTGAGAGCTTGATTGACAGCCTGGTGGTAGCAACTGCTGTGATCCAGTGGTGAATCAACACATGGCTCATTTGAATATTAACATGAGCCATGTGTTGATAGGTCACCACACGAAAATTGTAACCAATGAAATTACTTATTTTGACACACATTTTTAGCCAATAAGTATTAAACTAACGAGGTAATGTGTCAAAAGGCGACCTTTTTAGTTATTTTCTCAAAAGGAGGACAAATGAGTGTCCGGCTTAAGGCTGCACCTGCAGCCGGACAGGGTGTTTAAAAGCCGGACGAATGGCCACCCTGGATGCGAACAGTGTCCAGTTAGTTGTAATTTGCGACTTCACTGCTAGATGCTATTAAATCCTACACACTGGTCCTTGAAATAGATTATTTGGCCTCTCAGGGGCAGGGCAACAAACTGTAAGCACAATGTTGACATATTGTCACCTTATCAAGTTATACGTTACATACGAAAATAGTTGTTAATTAACATATCCAGCAAACACGGATATACATTAGCACTCATTTGGAGTTGGGTGTTTCTGACCTAAGTCCAATATTCAAACTAAAAGCTAGGGTACTTAATGTATTTCTATATTTGTTGAAAACATTTTTTACATTCTAACTGCAATCAATAAATCAAATGTTCTGACATTTTTTTTTTAACATGAATGAAGAGAGGGGTGGGATTGCTGTAAGACTCAGTCAAAACAGTAGAGTTGCGGGCCAGAAACAATTAGCTATAAGGAGCTAAAAGTCTTTGTAGAGATGAGGTGACAGAGAATCTGGTGATAATTCACTGTGCGTTTGTCACTGCGAGCAACCTCTTTCATATTACACATATATAAAAAATGGATTAGTGCAGCTTAATTTCAATGCTTCGTGTTTGTTCATGTTTGTCTTTGGTAGTGAGAAGCCACATAGAGAAGGGGGACACCAGGGATGGGCGGGAAGGCAGATAAAAGAGGCATTGTTGATATTGTTGCTCTTGTTCCTGCCATGCCAGGCAGATTAATGATGTAAGTAATTGACTGGCCACAATGAGACAAAGAGAGAGAGAGAGAGAGAGAGAGAGAGAGAGAGAGAGAGAGAGAGAGAGACATTGTGTGAGAGAAATTAAATGAACTACACACACAATAATGCAACTGCAGTAATTTAATGTAAATTGCCTGTGAGACTTGACATGTCTGTTTTACTTGTTTAATGGTTGCATATGCCTCGAGATCAACAGATGCAGTGGACACACAGGTTTATGTTTTGAATTCTTTCATTTGTCATTTAATATTCATCATGCAGTTGGAAAAAAAGCATTGATCATGGGTGTATTGCCATCTGTTCAAAGTGGAAATGTTTGATGGGTTATATTTTACTCACTCCTCACTTGTAAGGTCCTGTGTGAGTTTGACCCGGTCTCTGAAGCACCCTAAGGAGTACATGCTTTCCAGGACATCAGGGTCCAGCTCTGTTAAGGACAGGATCCTCTTCACACACACCCGACGAGGGGGCGGCTGTTCTGGGCAAGGCTCATTACGACCACCCCTGATGGGAAAGAGTCAGTGCATGTAGTTAGCGTTTTCAATTAATATGTTTACAGCAAGCACTGATAGACAATGAGGTCCAACATTACAGAGGTTTAATGTCAACTGAGGTAGAACTTTTCACAGTCTAATATTATGATTCCCAACAAGAGCAGGGTAGAGACAATATATCTAACCGATTTCAGCTGTGGTGCAGTACATTGCTTCCTGTGTTTCTCTAACTAGACTTGTGTGATCTAGATTTCACTGGAAAATCTCATCTGAAGAAGCGTTTTCTCAAGGGAAACTTTGTAAACTTGTCCTTTTTAACATGAGCAGGGCCGTATGAGCGATGTCACTGGAGTACAAATATTTTGGTCTAAGCATTGGCTTTCAAAAACTGCCATACCATTTAAGATGGTACTACTTTGGACTAAACACAGGTTGTGGTTTCAGAAAGCAATGCAGCTAGCATTAAAGATTTACCAAGAACTTTTAACTATATTTTAACCACCAACAAAAAACTTACTAGTCTGATTTTGCTTTGCACAATCCATTTCTTGAGGCTTCAAACTGCCTTTTGTCTACTGTATATATAATATGGCACATCTTACTTTAGTACCAATAAAACACCATAAGAAGCATTATAGCTTATTGTTGGTTGGTACTTTAAAACATATCGCATGGTATACGATAGCATGGTTGTTCTCTTTGAATTCAAAACAAGGTTGAAATTACTTCTTTTTTTAAAACTCAATTTTACTTATTATTGCATAGCATTTTGGCGTTGGTGTGAGTGGCTCAGGTAGAGACGGGAAAAGGAAAAATGCAGAGGGAATAAGAAAAAAGTAAGATAGATTAATGTACTTACTGGTACCAGGCGTGTTTCTGTATTGCTTCTAGCTGTAATCAACAAAAAAGAAGGCAGTGTTACAGATGTAACTGATACCCTAAAATGACACACAATAAACAAAGATGAAGCATCTGCTGTCCACTGGGTTCTGTTTAAAATAAAAAAAAGTCCTGACTCAAACAGGATTTTCCTTATGGAAGCCTAAAGCTAGCTCAGCATTGCAGATCCACTCATAATGGTATATTTAGCTGCTCTTTTGCACAGTGATGGTCAGACTGTCTCAGTGTCTTCCTATGAACATTCTCTATGTCCAATGCACAGTTTCTGGTATATCTCAACAAATATTAAAGAGATTGCTAAAAATGTGGTGTACACATTAATTCCCCAACTTGGATGAATTGTAATTTTTATATAGAACCATAATCAACTGGCTCCTCCTAGTGCTCCTAATGGCATTTGCAAAATCCACCGGGCTTGAACGAAAACAACCAATCACAGCCAAGGATGACAGTTAGTTGTTGTGTCTTATACAGATGCTTCGGGACTCTGGGAATGAGATTCAACAATCAACTATCTTCAAGCCTCCAACCCAAAGTGTCTTTATATTTTTATACTTTCTCCGCTCTGATTGGTTGTTTTCGTTCAGGCCCGGTGTATTCTAGTAAATGCCATTAGGAGCACTAGGAGGACGCAGAGGAACTGATTTTTTCACATATTATCTGTCTCATGTTCTACTGTCAGGATATAGTGAAAGTTTCAGCAAATATGAAAAAAAAATGTAATAAGAATTACATAATGCAGCTTTAACATCGGTACGTTCAATGCTCAATTACAACCTCACAGAGCCGCTAGGGAGCATGGCTGAAGTCAATTATATGCTTTCATGAATCCCAGGAAAAGTTTCAACGCAGTCTAGTCTTACATCCCCTAGTACAATATATATTCTGTAGGAGTCCCCTCTGCATTAGGACTGCATACAGTGGTAGCCATTGCATCGATACTGCGCATTATCTCTTGGGGTTAGAGTAATGGAGTAGCTGCAGGTCTGCAAGCATCGAAAAAGTCAAAAGTGAGCCTGCTTTGAACACTGTATTTGTACATCTGCAGAGAGAGCAACAAGCAGCTGCCTGCAGTGAGAGCTTTGCATTTGTTAATTATAACTAACTATAAAGTACTGTATGCAGCACTGATACGACAGTATGCTAAAAAGGACAAAACTGGGGGTTCTTATGTTCCCAGGGTCCTATGTTACCCAGTTCTAGGGTTAGAGTTGGCACCATTGACAGTACATATATAGTGGACAGAGCTTCCAGGTTTGTGAAGTGAAGCCAACACGGAAGTGTCTTGAACATGCATTCTATGTAATGGCCAGCAGGGGGCAGCTTCATTGGCTGCAAGAAAGCCTGGTGTTCATTTAGTAAATTATGGTCCCATTTAGAGTAAAAGAGACCATAAAGCAGGGTAAGCTTTAGGGCGGGGCTACCTTGTGATTGACAGGTCATTCTCAGTGAGTCCGTCCAGCTCAACGCACCACACTCAGATCAAACTGTCAGACTAGGCAGTGCTGATCAGTGTTGCAAATCTGTTCCGAAACATATTTTAGTGTTCTGTTTAGCTGGAATACGAGAACGTAACTTCAACTCAACTTGCAGTACTTCACCTCCACTGGCTGCAAAAAAAACCAACACAAACCAATGGGTGACGTCACAATAGGTTCACACTTTGTTAGGGTGTTAGGGAACTTACCTAGGGAACAGATACACTCCCCAGAACTAAAGACGTGTGGGTACATTTCCTAATGTTCTGCTTGCTTACCCATATACTTTTGAACTGAATTGAAGTATGTGGGATTGTTTCCATGGAGGCAACTAGCAGACAGACAGAGAGACAGAGACAGTCTGACCTGGTTTCAGGCTCCATTAATCAACAGCTCATCACACGAAGCCACAGCTTTGATTAAATTTGCTCTGCTGTAGCTGAATGACTAACTGACCAGACTTATTCCTTCTCTCTGTCTTTATTTTACAGCATCAAGCAAACCGCATTATCACAGTTGTCTCTGCCTTTCTGCCTCTTAAAAATGAATTCATTTCCACCCTGTGTGCCTGCTTTTTCCCAACCTCTCTTTACAACCAGAGTGCAGTGGAATTTCCTCTAGAAGTCCATTCATTCAGTCCCTCATTTATTCATTCACCTTCTCCCTTCTCTCTCCTCTATCTTGTTCTGAACTGCCAGTCTCTTTTCAAGTCTCGCTTTCAGGAGGGAAAGCTGGCACTTCAGTGAAAAGGAAGAACGTTCCTCATCTTTTTCACCCTCAGTGCCTCCGTCCTTCTTCACAGCCACTGAAGAGGCCACCCTCCATTCATTTTTACATACATTAATATGCCTCTCTTCCTTTCTACATCTCGGTGTCCATGAGTCTTAACCCCAGATAAACTGCTAACTTGCCTTTGAGGACAGAAATAGACCCAGGGCAGTCCTGTCATGCCTGACTCCGCTCCTGCCTTTAAGCAATACCTTAGGTCCCTTTGTCTGTTCTTCCACCTTCCTCATCTCCCACCTCCTCCAGCTGTTAGGTCTTGTGTCAGGGTCAATTCCTGTCACATCCTGAAGCAAAGCCTGGGGATATGTCTTTTCTTTTCGTTCCCTTCTCCCTCCTAAATGCCTGGTTCATGCTTTCTTTGCTGTAGAAACGGATGTGGTGCAATGTGCGTGGCAACGACTGACCTTTTACTAAGCCTTCCTTTATTAGTTCTCCATTCATATGTAGTTCAAAATGATAACTGAGGCAGATTTACCATTCAAGATGCTTTTTCAAACAATGGGTCCTTCATTTTAAACAGAAGCAGTCTAAACCAGCTTCTTATTATAGTCAGGAACCAATGATTTTGCCGGCTAAAATGACAGCTGTTGCAGACAGACTAGCTAGCTAGCTAAATAAGCTAACACTCCATGAGTTGTTAAAAACGTTGCCTCCTGTAAACCTTCTAGTGCTTCCAGCTGACTTGTTGAAAACAAAAACTCTGGGGTGAGGGCTTGATAGCGTCTTTATAGTTGTATATAAGATATTTACTAAACAGGGGTGGCATATGTGTCTCAACTTTCCATTGATTCCCAGTTTATACAATTCCAGTGCTGTTGTTTAAGGACCCCAGTTACTCAATACTCAAATACACCAGGCAAAAATAACACATACCACATTTTTTTGCCCAAACTGCATGGGATTAGCATAAATGGGGCATGTATGCAAAGGGGAGACTAGTGGGTACCCACAGAACCCATTTTCATTCAGATATCTTGAGGTGAGAGGTCAGTTTTTCTATCGCAAAAATTTTGGAGCGGTATTTAGCATGTTACCAATGGATGCGTTAGTTAATCTAGTTTCATATGATAGCAGTATCATCATTCTACCTACTAACAGAGCCCGCTACAGACTCTGAAATACAATGTGGAGACAGAGGTAGGGATAATGGGGTTACACTTGAGGTGGCCAATCAGATTTCTGGAAATGCCAAAGCTAATGGCTAATGTCCTATGTAAAAAGTCAGCATCCTCACCAGTTGATAATCCATGTAGAAGACATAATGAATCATTGTTCTTGTATTGAAGTGTAGAGCTGACTAGTTGGAGAATTTATTTTAAATCAGATTTTCATTCTAACATAATGTTGTTTAGCATAATTGTTAGTATTTTCTCCTTAACGGTTTTTAGGATTAAGACCAACCCATGCGTTTGGAAACGTAAAGTATCTGTATCCTAATGGAAACTCCGAATGAGGCTTTTCTTTCAAAATAAAAGCCCATTAGAGTAACTGCACCTTAACAAGAAGCTCAATATGACCCTTCCTTTTCAAAATAAAGCCCTCAATGGCTTGTTAACAGGGCACAAGGGATGCACCTATTTTTTCAAATTAAAATCCCTAGAAAGTGCATGAAACTGAGGAGGAAGCTGTTCTTTCAAAAAGCCCCAAAGAGTAAGTATTTTAACAGGAAACTGGATATACGATCAAAATAAATCCCCAAACAGTAACTGTGTCTTCTCTCTCTTGGGAAACGCATCAAGCATTCAGGCAGACTCAAAATGAATCATTAACTAGTAAGTTTCTTAAGAGATTTCCTTCTTGGCATTGAAAGTAGTGCTCAGTAGGCAGTCAGCTAGTTAGCCGGACATGCTGGTTACAGCTACACACAGCGTATTAGGCACACACACTCCTTAAAGATGCTCTTGTTTTTATGGTTTTAGAAAGGCTTCTAAACTTGATAAATATCACTTGCTTAGTTTCTAATATTCAAGTTTTGATACATCACACCTCATTTCCTCTCCTCCCAGAGACTGCCATGGGCTGAAACAACACCCTCAATGTTAAAGAGTTATGACAATGCCCTCGATGATCATAGACGCCAAAAGCCATTTCTCAAAAACATGCATCCAGAGAGAACTCTTGTTCTTTAATTCCAAGATGATGTTTCAGTTGGGAAACCATTAAATCTTCTGTTTTCAAGCTTGACTGTAATTAAAAACATACATCACTCTGACATAAGTACATTGCCATTAGCTAGTGTTTTTAACAGTTCCCCCTCCCTCCTCACCGTGAGTCTCTTGTCAGCGTTGACTTCTATCATTCCTTTAAGCAGAGCTTGGCAGTCAGGAGGTATAAAGTGGGGCATGTGGAATACTCCACTCTTCACTTTCTCTAGAAGCTGCCGCAGGTTATCGTGGTCAAAGGGCAAGGCACCCTGGGAAAGGATGGGAGACGAAGGAGAGATAAAAAGAATATCAATTAGGGTGAGAAATAGAATCAGAAACAGAATCTGAATCAGGTTTATAGCAAAATAAGTTTTCTCATAGGAGGAATTTGCCTTGGTACATTGGTAAGTAAGTAAGTAAATATAAATAACGATAGAAAATAGAGACAATAAAAAGGAGACTACAAAATATAAACTACAAATATAAAAAGTGAAGAATATTGCAAAATGGCTGGATACTTAAATAAATGCATAAAGAGAAAAAATAATTATATTTGCAAAAAAATTTTGCTAAATTGCAAATGACAGAATGATATAGGAGGCTTAAAAAGTGATACATCTTATGAGCAGTTTGCTTAGTATGGAGACTGAAAACAGGGGAAACAGTGACAAAATCCACCTGCCAGCACTTAACATTAACATGTTATACTGTTTATTCCGTAAAACAACTAAAGTGTAAGATAACAATTAAAATGTTGACAGGGGGTTGTGTTCTACATTTATGGATCGAACAAACAAAATATAGTTGGTTAATTAGGGAGCTTTGGGGGCTGGAAGATGATTTTGCCTAACTGCTCCTTTAAATGTGCCCTGAGCAGTTTTCTTGTAGCCAAATACAGCTATGTCTTTGTGTTATGCTTCTCACAAAAACACATTGTATCTATATTTAACGCTGCTTGCTAGCAGTCTTTTTCTTCCCTGCTCTTTTCTGGCGCATTGCTGCATCTCTTGGCAGGTTACCCACACCAACTGTCATTCAGTGGAAAAGTGTAAAGCCGTCTGCAGTCATGTATTGTGTCACCCATGTGCTCGTGCAACCTTGCTAGTAGAGCACAAGATATAAACCTTTAAGGTTTAATACAGATGCTGATGGTCTGGTGGAAGCAGGGGCAGATCTAGAGGGGCTTTGGCAAACAAATACTGATATATGTAATTGCTTGTGATTAAAGCTGCTGTAGGTAACTCATGAAAATAACTTTTTGTCATATTGAAAGTTTTTACTGTGTCTTGACATTAGTACATGAGACAGATAATCTTTGGAAAAAAATCAGGTTCCTCTGGCTCGTTCTAGCACTCCCATTGGCATTCACAAGAATCCACCGGGCCTGGACCAAAACAACCAATCAGAGCATAGAAAGATAGAAATATGATTTGGGTTGGAGGCTTGAAGATAGCTGATTGTGGAGTCTCATTCAACTCAATCAATCAACTATCTCTCTCAGCTCTGATTGGTTGATTTTGTTCAGGCCCGGTAGATTCCTACAAATGCCATTAGGAGCACTAGGAGGAGCCAGAGGAACCTGATTTTTTCACAGACTCTTACTTTTTTCACAGATTATCTGTCTCATGTCTCGTGTTAGGATATAGTAAAAGTTTCAGCAAATATGTTAAAAATATCTTTATAAAAATGACCTACTGAAGCTTTAAATCAGCATATATTTATGCCACCCCTTAAAGTCTCCATGACACCATCTGGGCACCCCATAATTATTACTCTAGATCCGCCCCTGGGTGTGACAGTACTATGTATGAGTTTTAATGGGATACACATGAGCTGAATTGTGGAAATCAAAGGGCAGAGAGAAAAAGACAAGCAACTAAATACTGGAAGAAAAGACATGCATACAAGAAGGATCTTCTTACCACAAGAAGAGCAAAGAGAATGACTCCACAACTCCAAACATCTGCCCTGCGACCGTCGTACTTCTCCCCCTGAGACACAATTGCAAGGACAGGGTAGCGTTAGACACACACACACACACACACACACACACACACACACACACACACACACACACACACACACACACACTGAGAGGGAAGTAACTTACCCTTATGACCTCTGGGCAAGCATAATGTGGGGATCTATAAATAAAGAAGAGGAAATTATTAAATAATTTAACCAGACACAAACGTAAACATGGATAAAGGGGGCACTGAGTTGTTGAGTGCTGATTCATGCAAAAAAAAAAGAAAAAGAAATTCGAACACCTGCTCTTTCATCCATGGAATAGACTGAATAGGTGAATCCAGGTGAAAGCCACAATCCCGTACTAAATTTATCTGTTAAAGCCGCGTTCCTCCTGGTGGGCAGGTGGTTTAAAGCTTTTAATAAACAAAGCCATCGATTATGTAAAAAGAAGCACAATAGGGCTTTGGGTGGATGTTCCTGATGTTCTGCACACTTTGTGTACCTCACCAAACTGTAAATCTTAAAGTCATTTAAAGCTGCTTTTATAAAAATAACTTTTTGTCATATTTGCTGAAACTTTCACTATATCCTGACAGTAGAACATGAGACAGATAATCTGTGAAAAAATCAAGTTCCTCTGGCTCCTCCTAGTGCTCCTAATGGTATTTGGAAGAATCCACCGGGCCTAACAAAAACAACCAGTCAGAGCTGAGAAAGATATGAAGACACTTGGTTGGAGTCTTGAAGATAGTTGATTGTTGAGTCTCATTCCCAGGGTCCCAAAGCGTCTGTATTTGGTTGCTTTCATTCAGGCCTGACGGAAGCCAGATTTTTTCATAGACTCATGTACTACTGTCTAAATATTTAAACATGCAGCTGTCCAAAGAGCATTAATAATGAGTTGCACATATACATACAAGCTAACTTTAACCCATCTAATCCAGTACTCACCCACAACTGGTTTCCAACAGGCTGTCACCGACTTGTAGCGAGGCCATACCAAAGTCTGCTATCCTGATGTTATTCTTCTCATCCAGGAGAAGATTCTCGGGTTTCAGGTCCCTGTGACTGGACACACACACAAACACACACTCATTGAAAGTACTGAAGTCATTTTCTAGACCATAAACATTAACTACAGCTGAACTAACCTTGTTTGTACACACCAAATGAAGACCTACTGTTTATTTAAATCTAGTAATCTTGAACAGAAAGTGGACGTGTGTGTCCTGGTTCTAATGGGGAACTGGGTTAAATACTGCAGGAATTTGCAGTGGTTAGTACAAATCTGATATATTTTCTGATTTCAAGAACTGTACAATATGCACAGTCATGTGATTATACTGAGAAAGAATTAAACAGTCAAAATCAACACTGGGGCTCAGAGTCCTTGAGCAAGATACTGAACCCCAAATTGCTCCTGATGCTGTGCATCGGTGTGTGAATGTGTATGAATGAGTTAGTTTCTGTTTGATAGGCTTTACCATCACTGAGTGAATGAAAGGGTGAATGTGGCACATAGTGTAAAAGCGCTTTGAGTGGTCGGAAGACTAGAAAATCACTATACAAGTACAGGTCCATTTACCATTTACCATTTAAAGAACAAAGTAAAGATACAGTAAAACATATCTGTAAAGTTTCCTATTGGCCTTATGCATTTCAGCAACAAGAGGGCACTCTGTTGTTTTACAGTCCTGTAGTTTTACACTCATTTGGGATAGTTACATTATTACATCAACGGGATTTTGATATGGATGCATGTCAAAATGTTTTATGATCAAACCAAATGCAGACGTGTTCCCAACTGCATGTTTCTTTAAATCTTTTTTCTAAATTGTTTATTTTGTCATTTTTGGAACAGTTGATAATGATGAGGCACACAGGAAACAAGGGGAGAGAGAGAGAGAGAGAGATAGGACATGTAACAAAGGTCAATGTAAGGCGTACAGAGACAAAACTGGAAATTAAACACATACACAAAGAAGGGTCAACAATAACAATAAGGTCAATAGCATCTCACAGACCATATGGAGTGACTGTGGCAGAAGTCAAGGGCGGAGATGATTTGTCTGAAGAACTTCCTGGCCTCTTTGGGGGTCAGCCTGCCTTTCTTCACCAGGTAGTCAAATAACTCTCCGCCAGACACATGCTCCAACACCAGGTACCTGGGAGACATAAGGGCAGAGGGGTCAGTCACATGGATGCTTCTTCCATACCTATAAACTCAAACACACACTCACATCCCTCTATAGCTTCTATGTTATATGTTTGTTTGTTTTTTTAATCTCTGTCTTACAGAACCATTCTCCTTTTCAGATTCAAGGTTGTTACTGCTCTGGCGGAGATCCAGAGGCAGAGACGTCAGATTAAAAGAAAGTCAGCGGAAAAGAGAAAGATAAAGAGATACTCACAGGTATTTGTTATTCTCATAGACATCATGCAGCTTCAGAACGTGAGGGTGCTCTATTAGTTTAAGAATAGCTATTTCTCTCTCCACCTGGATAGATAGAGAGAAGGGGAGATGCGGAGAAAGGTTAAGAGAGAGGGAGAGAGAAAATAGGAGGAGCGAGGTTAAAAATTATGGAGATTGAAATGTCAAAAGAAAGAGGAAGGTAGAGAGAAAGAGAAAGCAAGTATAAAGGCAGAGTTAGTTCAAATGTGGAGCAGAGGGAGACAGTATTAAACGTTATTGTAATTCATTTCAAGGCAGAAACAAGTTGTTGAAGTTGTGCTAACAAAAAGAGTTACAGTTGTAGACAGGGCAGGGGGAGAATAAGCAAATAATTAATGGAATTATTGGAGATATTCTGAATGAAATACACCCTGTGCCTTCAATTTTCCTTTTCAAAGCTTTAAGGTCCAGTGTGTAGGATTTAATTCAATTCAATTTTATTTGTATAGCGCCAATTCATAACAGAAGTTATCTCAGGACACTTTTCAAATAGAGCAGGTCTAGGCCGAACTCCTTATAACATTATTTACAGAGACCCAACAGTACCACCATGAGCAAGCACTTGGCGACAAGGGCAAGGAAAAACTGCCTGTTAAAAGGCAGAAACCTAGGACAGATCCTTCGGCTCTAGGTGGGTGGTCGTCTGTCTCGACCAGTTGGGGTGAGAGAGAGAGAGAGACAGACAGACAGACAGACAGAGAGAGAGAGAGAGAGAGAGACAGGCAGACAGACAGACAGACAGACAGACAGACAGAGGTGCACAGCAACAATAGTAGCAACAACTACACTTATTTTATCGACATCTAGCAATGTAGTTGCAGACTGCAGCTCATTCGCTGCAGAAACTACGGTGGCTATGAAACGTGTTAAAAATGTGAACCAGTGTTTGGTTTGTCTCTTCTGGGCTGGGCCTTTAAAGGTATTCATATGTATGTTTTCATTAGTGTATAATCACCTAAATAGGAATCATTGTGTTTTTGTTACCTTAGAATGAGCCGTTTTTAGCTACAGATGCCGCGGGTACCGTGGAGTCTGCCATGTTTCTCAGAATGGAAAAACCAAACACTGGCTTTTACATAGGTGCACCCACATTTTCACGTGTTTCCCAGCCACTGTAGTTTCTCCTTCGCACTTGGAAGGGGAGGGTGAAGAGAAGGAGTTGCGATCTTCAATTGTACCGTTAGATGGCAATAAATCCTACACACTAGACCTTTAAGAGCAGGTCACAGCCTAGGTCTTAGCTAGCTCACTGTAGAGTCGCTTACTGTACAGGGAGCTATCTCAGGCCTAGTTCCTAACTTACCTAAAGCTGCACTATATCAATATTTTATATAAAGAATTAACCAAATATCAATGTGTAATGTAAAACGTGTCACTCATAGTGACAACCCCACAGAGAATTATCACTGACTCTGCAGTTCCCCTCAGCTTTATGGAGAGTTTTACTGTCTTTCAGTTCATTGTTCTCTCTCATAGCTTTCATCAACCTCGTTTGCAGCAGCAACATCAGTCTACCAGTCAGCCGTTTTCAATGAAAAAGCTGTAGCCCCTTCAGACCCGCCTATGTTCCAAGGTTGTGAAAAATATAATAATGACTTTTCCCATCCTTAATGCAACCAGAAATGAGAATCAATAAAAAAATGTTTTTAATCAAAACCCTTTAATTGTTATTTTTCTTGTCCATTTCAATGGACATCGGGTCCAAACAATTCTTAAAATACCAACATCATATGACAACATCATACCTACTTTTTGTCTGTTAAATGTTGCAAAAAGTAAAAAGAAGCCCCTGTCAAGTGACGTCCATTGTAATGGACACAGGGTCTGAAGGGGCTAAAAGCCCACCTGCTCAGCACCAAACAGCAGACAGACACAGATAGCCACTAGCTAGTGAACACAGTGGAGCATTTAGTAGTTAAAGTGCCAGATATTTCCCTGAGAAATTAGTAGAAACCAAAAACAGAGCTAAAAGAGAGTAAATATTGGACACACTGTTTCTGTCTGATGTGTAAAAAAGGAACCGCTTGCTAACTCAGTTGCATAGCCATAAGGTGACATTATGTCAGTGTCATGTTTACAGTTTAATGTGCTGCCACAAGATGACCAAAAAAACAATGAATGCAGCTTTAAAGTTATGGAAGCTGGACATTAGCCTACTGGATTTATGGATTCTGTTCTATTTAAGCTAGTCAAAGCAAAACCTCTATATGGTGTCATGTCTCTGACCAATACTTGCAAATATAATCTCATATATTTGACATTTGAGAGAACCAAATCTCTCCTAGTTAAATATATAACACAGATAGATTAAGTGTTAATATGAATACAATTTTTTAACTTTAGCTAAACTTTAAAGGACCAGTGTTTAGAATTTAGTGGCATCTATCATCTCATGATTCTCATATTAATCAAATCATAGTTATTAATATTATATTCTATTTCTGCTAATAGATCGTCCTAAATGTTACACACTGGACCTTTAAAATGACTTTTTGCATGAATGAGGACTGTGTGTTTCTCTTCATGCCAGGTATGGCGAGAAGGAAAGATTATGATCAGTAACCTACATGAGGGGCATGTGGGTTTGAAAATATCCCAAACTATCCTTTCAAATGAATAAATAAAGTTTATCAGATCTCATTTCAGCACCAGCAGCCGTCCATAGTACGACCTATTAAACAGTCTCACACATGACACAGAAAGAGGCACAATATTGGTTTGCTCTCCACATGGTTGGATTAATTATTGGATTGGGTACATTCATGCCATTCTCATTGTGGTTTAAGGTCTTTCAAGGTCTCTGGAGTTGAAACATGCCTAAAAGTTCCATCATGAGGTCAAATTCTTTTGATTTAAAGGCACATTGGCAGCTATTTGCCAACCTCTGCTATAACATATAACAGGCGTCATAAAAGTAGACTTCATGGCACTGAGTGTACATGAGAGGATGAAAGAAGTTACAAACTTCTTATGTTTTGCCTCTGTCTCATGTTGGAGCCCCAGAGCAGGAAGTTCAGAGCGTAAAGCCACATTCGGGAGTGTCAACATGAAGAAGCTCCTTGTAGTTAAATGTGCTGGCCTTCCCAGCTAAAGCTAGCAGACAGCAGCCCAGTAATGCGGTTACTGACAGTTAGCACACAGAGAGGGCAACGGGCAGCTGTCCAAAGCAATACTGTGTAAACCAGATGACAAGTGGGGACCGGTGGCATTTGCAGGGGATGAAGGGATGAAGGCTTTTTGTCTATTTTCTGCTCTGGCTAAAGAAAGAAATCTGGTCAGAAACACACACATTTATGCTGTTTGAGCTGCTCATACCAGAGAGCTGACCATCCACATGTCTGATATTACATAGAACAAGCTATATATTCAAAATAAGTATTATTTGTATGTTCTAAAACACATGACACCACGACACCACACTCCCTTGTGTCTAAACTTCTCCCTGTGCGACCCGCTGTATTTTAAAACTGCTCAAAGCTGCAAGTAGAAACACCAACATAAAACATTTCAATTTCAGCTGCAGCAGCTTTCATCAGAGGGCTTAATTAGCAGAATGAAATCATCTCCATTGTTCGGTATACAGGAGCGGTGCCCACACACTCGACAGCTCCAAGTTACAACACACACAGGCTTTTCTTGACAAAAATATACACTCCATTTCTGTTGCGACTTCTGCAGGTAGGAGGGTTCGCACCTTCCTACCTACTTGTGATTTGAGCTTTGGAGCCACCGTAATGACAGTCACGGTGACACAGTAGCTAGATAGACAGATGAAGATGAGGTACATCATAAGCGCCATACCTTCATTAGAACTGATTCAGAGAGTTTCTCTCTGTTGACAATCTTTATGGCCACCTTCTGCCCAGTAATACAGTGGACACCCAGCTTCACCAGTCCTAAGAGAGAGAGAGAGAGAGAGAGAGAGAGAGAGAGAGAGAGAAGAAAATGTTTTGAGTATCAGAAATCATCATGCAGTGTGAACAGGAAGGAGGGGATGTCATAAATAATTCAAAAAGCTTTACTGACATTGTCACAAACATTGACCAAACTAGGCTCACAAAAAGACAGATTGGAACATTTGTGAAGAGGCCAGCTGGGATGTCTTCTCCCTTCCTGAATGCTAAAGACATGTTAATGGATTTTATGTGGGTCCTTTCAGGAGAATAAAAGCACGGAGGATGAGAGGACTTACAGAAGGAGGAAATAAACTCTGGATATCATATAAATCAGCTGATGCACCTTGCTGCAGGACTAATTCAGGAGGCTCCTACCTGTCTGTCCCTTCCCGAGGGTCTTCTCCAGCCTGTAAGGCCCCACATACTGGTTGGACTGGCCCACCGTCAGCTCCTTGCTGCTCATCCTTCCCGAGATGAAATTGTACTCCTGATATAAGGCAGATCAAGATAGCGGCCGCTCCTGCTCCGTGCGTAATGCCGTAACGCACATCACAGGCGGCGGAGAGGAGCGGAGAGGAGAGGTATGGACGACTGGTCGTGATCTAAAGCCGGGCCCTGCAGGCTACTCCCATGCACTTGTTTGTCATGCGGTCAGGTCCGCGTTCGGAGTGAGAACCGGGCCCAGTTTCCACTCTGTAAGGCCTAGAATAAAGTATCTCCCAGTCTGTGTCTTCCACTAAAGCAGCATCATTCAGAGGGGGAAGTAGAAAAGATCAGAGAGACGTGTGAGGTTTGCCCGGTACCGGTGATGATGGGAGATGTCCACAATAACGTGCTACATCAAACCCACCCCCTGCTATAAATAACAGTAGTTTAAAGCTGATTGATCCTGTGTAGCTTATGCAGCTGGTCAAAAGTGGAGCAGTAAAGAAAGAGCTCATTCAGACCCGGACAGGAAGGCTACATTTGCCACACATTGATTCCTGTAAGAGCAGAGTCTCAAATATCCCAAGTCAGAATGCCCCTGATTGAATCCATTCTCTGATCAATATCAGGGACCCCCCGCCCACCCCCCCTCTTCCTCGCTGCCGCTACCGTCCAAAAAATGTTTCCACAACCCCTCCGAGCTCGTACATTCCCGTTTCTTCTCAAGCCTGGCCTCGTTTGGTCGGGATGTGACTTTCCTGTGCAGATGCGGCGTTGTCCGGATAATAATCTGTTATCACAACAGCATCAGCAAGAAGAATGGGTTTTCCAATATCCGGTGCACACTTTGGCTCACCCCTCCCCGGGCCTGCATCAGGAAATAGAGGAAGAGGGGGGGAGAGCATTAAAAAAGGGCAAACAGCCTCGGGCAGACCGGGCGAGACGGGCGGAAAAAATGCGCCCTCGGTCGGGACGGCTGCAGCGCAGAGAGGTGCGCTCGGTGTGCCGGAGCAGGATCAGCGCTCGGCCCGGTGATAAATCCTGTTTCTAGAAACAACAAGCATCCTCAGCTGGCCTGGTGGTAGCCCACTCCCCGCCTCTCCTCCCCGTGCACCCTCTTCCTCCCTCCCTCCCTCCCTCCCTCTCTCTCTTCCTCTCTGTCTCTCTGTCTCTCTCCCTGGCCGGCTATGCTCATGATATCACCGCATCTCCTCCCTCAGCCGGCGCTAAGCTGTTGCCTTCCGAACAAATGGCAAACAATGAAAAGAAAAAGAAATCGCCTCGTAGGAAACACTCTTTCAGGGTGTCAGGAGTTGGCCGCATCCACAGGAGTGTCCATCATTCGCGGGGTGCTCTCCTCCACTCCGTATTATACCCGTTTCCCTTTCTCTTTTTTCCACACCTCTCACACTCCTCCTCCTGCTTCCTTCTCTTCATCGGTCAGCATCAGCATCCGGGTTCCGCCCCCATCCTCCCCACCCCTCTCAGACTGTCTCTCTCGCCCCCACCCTCTTTTACTACAGCAAAGTTCCACATTAGGCTACGTGATTGGATGAAAAATATCAGGATACCAAGAATACCAAGTACCACATGGTCCATGCCAGTATGGCAGATGTACTCTAATCAATAGAAGAGTCTTAAAGCTGCAGCAGGTCATTTTTTATAAAGAATAATATTATTATGTTTTTGTAAAAATCTGATTCCTCTGGCTCCTTCTACTGCTCCTAACAGCATCCGCAGGAATCCACTGCGTTTGAAGGAAAATAACCAACCAGAGCCAAGGAAGATGGTTAGTTGTTGAGTCTCATTCCCAGGGTGTCAAATAACCTACAGATGCTTTGGGACCTCAATAATCAACCATCTTTAAGCCAACCCAAAGCTAAGCTATATCTTTCTTGGCTCTGATTGGTTGTTTTTGTTCAGGTACTTAGATTCCTGCAAATACCATTAGGAGCACTAGGAGGAACCAGAGGAACCTGATTTTTGCACAGATTATCTGTCTCGTGTTCTACTGTCAGGATATAATGAATGTTTAGGCAAATACAATGAAAAGTTATTTTTCTAAAAGTTACCTACTGCAGCTTTAAAGGCACACTATGCAAGATTTTTACCTTAATATAACAGCTTCGAAGTCATTTTGATGGCAAACAAACTCGTAGTATAGCGAATCATCCCGATAGCAAAGCAGGAGAGGGACACCGCTGGCAGAACCAGCAATGCAAGTCTGAAAGGTGGCGTCCCGCCAAATCTCGCGAGAATCACAAATTGCTTTACGGCGCGACGTCACATACATCAGCGACATAAGAAGCAGCCTCAATGGAAGACACTAGCAGGCATTCACTCAGACGTTACCTGGTCAGTAGACATCTTCGGAGTCTATCTTTGCCTGTTCGATGTCCGAAGCTTCCATCCTACTGAACATGTACCGGTATACAGGGGGCAGGGGATCAGGCCGTGAGTGCAGAGACGCAGAGCCGAATATAGAGACGGCTCTGGTGAGTGGTATTTACGACAGTTAACGTTAAATACAAGTACTCCGCAGCGACTCTAGGGGTAGCTGTTTGACAAAACCGGAAAACTGCATAGTATGCCTTTAAAGTTAATATAAACATGGGAATGTTCTAGAAATATCTGTAACACTATAATAAGTCATTTAACACATTAATTAATGCAGTTGGTTGTCGTATACACGTTGCTGCTTGACCCTGTGGTCGTTATGTGACATTTACAAGCTAGGGGGACAAACACAAGATTAAGTTTAACAAATGAAATAAATATCATACCTGGAGTAAGAACAGAAAAACTCAATATACCTTCTAAAGCAACCTTTTTCCTTGAGGGACACTTAAGTAAAGTGACTAAGCTACATAATTTATGGATATTTTATATTCAATGCATAGCAATAACAGTAAGAACAACTAAACTGTACAATGAACCCAAACAGTGAACACAATACCTACAGGAAGATGGGAGATTTGGATGAATTTTGAGCAGATTATTTATTGTTAATATTGATCAGAGATCAGTTTTCCTGATTTTAGGGAACTTTTTATACAATTTGCTGTCTATTTAAAATGTATTTGTTCTATTTTTAACAATCATACAATCATAGGCTTCATGTTTCTCTTTTGGCCATTGTTCTATCAGCTCTTTGGTTGTTTTAACAGCGTACTTTTTTAATGCAGGATAAGCAAGGGTGTCAATCAGAGAGGGAAGGCTCTGAATATACATTGTGTTCAGTTCTTTAAAGTTTAGTAATACAAATTAGAACTTCATTCAGGAAAAGGAAATGCTGAGATATAGGGCTCCTGTGTATATTTTTCAATTTGTTTTCTTACACCCCTTAAGATCAAGAAGGCCTCATGACTCCCTGCAGTGAAGCTTTGGTGGTGCTTATGGGGGTCTTAATCCAGAGGTTGGGAACCACTGTCCTAAAGGGAATGTAATGATATTATTAGGTTTACCACCCAGGCAAAAAATCATTAAAAACACTTAACAAAGCAATCTCTTCTCAAGGTCCTATCACTTACTTTTTGGAGATTTCAACCATTATATACAGTCTCTATCTGCAGATGTACACACTTGTATACACTTTAAGTATCGACTATTTGCCAGTGTCATTTACAGTAGGGCTATTTCCTGATCTCAAAAAAGCATTTGATACTGTTGACCATGACTTCCAAAATTGAAGGGGTTCCTCAAGGCTCAGCGTGAGGCCCATGAGTGTTTATTTAAGGTTTCCAAAAACATTCAAATTTATTTTCATTTGCAGTTCATTTTGCACCAATTTATTTTTTGTGTGTTTTATTCATGCTTTTTATGTGCTTTGTTCTCTTTCAATAAAATTCAATGAAAATATAGATTATAAAACACTTAACTGCCACTGTACAGCACTGACCCCTGGGGCAGATCATAATCTGCACTTGCGCTGCATCACGGTGTGCTGTGATTAAGGTTCACATTGTGATATCGGAATGACGTTGACTCTAAAATCTTAATCCCTTTTAATCTTAATCTGTTGATGCAGTCAGGTCGACGTAGTTCAGATTATCTGATTGTGCTGCGTGTGAGTATGTAAATCCATTCCTGTGAGTTTATCTGAGTTTATGATTGTGTTTCCTACACAAAGAAGCCAAGATGAAAGAAAAGTCACAAGACATAAACACGGTTTTATGTCACAGAAATATAGTTTTTCTTGTTGTCCAGGGTGATGGACATTCAACACCTCCCTCCATACATTCCAAAATGTTTCTTAAAGAATCACGTTATTAACACAAAATGTCTGGGGATGGTTTACACACTTATAGAATGAATTCAAGAGACATGCTACTAAAATCTCTAAAGGTTTTGTACAGATTAACCAGTAAAGTTGTGGTAGTGCATTTTTTAACCACAGGATGGTGCTGTTATGCCTTTATGCTAGTCATTAGATGGTGATGTAGTGAATCATAGTAGGAGTTTATTTAGTCTGTATTGTAAATATGATGCAGTTCAACAATAATGACCAATCATTTTTCATTGTTATTATCTGCTGCTTCATTCACAGCTTCAACAATAAAATGCTGCCCTCTGATCTCTGCCTATAACTCAAATTCTTATAGTTGTCCTTTGACTATAATGCTAGGTGATTTAAGGGATGATGTTGAAGGAACATATCTGAGCTACAAAGACACAACAATTAAACATTTTGGAAGCGTTAGTGGGATCTCGAAAAGGACGTTAATAGGAATAAAGAGCAATAAACTGGGTGGAATACTTTAAGTCTGGGTGAAGGCTGGAAGATGATAAAGGTTGATTAGAGGGATGGAAACATTTTAGTTTTATATTTATTGTCTGTGCATTGAATAATTATAGGGGAGTGTGTGTATATGGATATACGCCAAACAGCCATAACATTGTGACCCACTGAGCACCCTGGTGGTCAGAATGTTCTGCAGCCTCATACCAACAAACTGTGATGCACCATGTGTTCTGACACCTTTCTATCAGAACCAGCATTAACTGTTTCAGCAGTCTGAGCTACAGTAGCTCGTCTGTTGGATAGGACCACACAGGCCAGCCTTCTCTCTCCACTGACAGGTACCATGATAACCAGATAATCAGTGTTATTCACTAGATATTCTGGCTCCAGTAATTGACAAAGATGGCAGAAACTGTGAAAAATAAGTTGAAGCTTTTTTTTAACCACCTGGAACTATTGTGAAGTTCCTGTGGTTGAAACAATCAAGTTTAGCTCCTGAGTTCCTGAAAAGGCTTTTGGTCCCCTGGTTGCTGTGGCAGAAGGGCCCTTGCATTTGTCAGGTGTCAAGATAATGAGACATGTTTCTGGTTTCAAAATGGGTCACTGTTGGTAATCTGCTGAGTGTGAATGAAGGAAATGATGGGTTTTTGGTCAGTAGGTATGATGGTTCAACTTGCGACAGCATGTTTGGGGGTCAAATAGGTTATACTATCAATTATTTATTATGTATTTATTTATGCTGCTTCATAATCTAAGAAAGTATTGTAAAGTGTTTCTGGGAATTAGAATTGGTGGGAAATAGCTTAATGTCCAATACACAGCTCTCATTACACGGTAAAACCAGATAAGTTAATTTAACTCAATTATTTGTTGAAACTGATTACACTGAAAAAGTTAACACAATTTTGTGAGTTAAAAAAACATTCTTGATCAAGTAGCTTTTGTGGATTTAGGTCAGACTGAATTAATTTTGTGATTTTTGTTTGTACTGTGAAAACAAAATACCATAAAAACTACTTAATCAAGAATGATTAAGTAGTGGTTTAACCCTAACTTACAAAATTGAGTTATCCGTTTCAACAATTTGTTTATGTTAAAATAACTTATTGCATTATATTGTAATATAGTTTTTATTTGTGCATGAACTTCCACCCAACACTTGCCTCTTACACACACCCACACACACACACACACACACACACACACACACACACACACACACACACACACACAGTTAAACACACACTGCTGTACCTCCCCTTACCCCTTACCCTTTAGGCCCTTCTCTGCAGACTCAGGCAGAAATTCTCCCCCCTCAGTGGAATCTTCCTCAGGCATTTAGCTTGACACTCTCTGAAGTGGTTGGGAATGGTGTATCTTATGTCAAATGCAGAGCAGTGCAGTTTGTCACTGTGTTCATGTAACTGCAACACGTGCTGCCATGTACACTATTGTATGAAGTGTGTGTGTATAAATGAATAATTGATGTTAACCATTTCTGTGTTCAACAGTTCCAAAAGATATGCCTAAAGATTGCAATCTGTGGTTGAATTTAATTGTCCTTAGTCAACGTGTCCTCACAAGTATGTGCATGTCTGAGCGTGTATGTGTGTGTATGTGTTCCTTCACATGTTGATACCAGGGTAAATTCCTGGAAACACAGCACGCCTGTTTACACAGGTCATATA